CACCTCAGATTCTGAATCCCCCCTCCCCCAAGTGCCCTACTCCCTCCTCGATCGCCCCTTTGAATTCACTGAATTCAATTTTGCCCTCAAAAACAAAAAAGACGATTCCTCCCCAGGTCTAGATGGAATAACCTATCAGTTATTAAAAAGAATGCCTATCAAACTCCACCTCGTTCTCTTAGACATATTTAACGAGATGTACGCAACGGGGGACTTCCCTGATGAGTGGAAACACTCTTTCGTACATTTTATCCCGAAACCAAATAATCAAGACGTCAGACCGATAGCCTTGACTTCATGTGTGGCAAAAACTTTCGAAACTATGGTGAAAAATAGACTCCAATGGTGGTGTGAATCGAAAGATATAATCCCCAATTATCAATCAGGTTTTCGTCCAGGACTTTCATGTATTGACAACCTGAGTAACTTCTATCTTAACGCGGAATTTAATTTGAAAGAAAACAAAGAAACAATCGCAGCATTTCTAGATGTCCAAGGGGCATTCGACAATGTCAACCCCGATATAATGATTGAAAACTTAGTAGATATACAGTGCCCGATGAATGCCCTTCGATTCATTAAACACCTCATACACGAAAGATTTATTCACGCTAAGTCGATTGATGATAAAATACTGACCGTTCGCAAAGGAGTTCCTCAAGGAGGTGTATTGTCTCCATTGCTATACACCATCTACACGCGAAATGTAATGAGAAATATCGATCAAGATATTAAATGTTCTATGTTTGCCGATGATATCGCGTTATATTGCTCATACAAAGGAACTGTTCTAGAAGTAAAGACCCTTGAGAACTCCATTGCGCAAATATCGAGAAACCTGAATAAACTAGGCTTAGAACTTGCTCCAAACAAAACTACTGTGTTACAAATCACTAAAACAAAATTAAAATTCGAAGAAGTCAAAATCACCATCGATAATGTAGAAATTAGACCTAGCCCAGTAGCAAAATTTCTGGGAATTGATTTTGACTGTGAACTCAACTTTAAATATCAAGTAAGTAAAGTCCAGCAAAAAACACTGAGGGCTCTCAATATCGTAAAGTTTCTCCGACGAACATGGTGGGGCTCGGACCCCTCCACCCTTATTATTCTATATAAAAGTTTCATCCAATCAGTCATTGATTATGGAATATTTATATATCTCCCTAATACAAAATTCATGAGAGATAAACTTGAGAAAATCCAATACTCTGCTATTCGATTAGCGCTCGGGTACAGGTGCTCAACCCCCACCAACGTCCTCGTCGGAGAATCAAAACTCACGTATATTCAGGATAGAGCCAATTTTCTCTGCAAAACATATGTATTAAAAGCGCTCTCGAATCAACAATCGCAGATAGCGCAAAACATTCGCAAATTGTTCGAAATTAGTTCTTACTCTTATCGTACCAGAGACAAAGTAATGATTAAATGTATCTGCGAGGTACTCCCTCTAAAAGAATCACTGTACATCGACTCAAATTACCACATATTCACTCACTCATTTGATGCCTACATTGTACCCATCGTCCTGAACGACAACTTGGGACGATCGGCGCAAGAGGTAAAAGAAACTAATCGAGTTGTTAATGAGGAGCTTCAGAGATTTCATCAGGATTATTACCGAGTTTTCACTGACGGAAGTAAAAATAGAAACAATAATTATGTTGGAGCTGCGTGCGTCTGCCCTGAGTTGAACACACGTATCTCCACAACCTTAAATCGGTATTCATCAAGCTACACTGCCGAATGCATTGCACTCACACTCGCGTTAAAATTTGTAAAGGAAAATCCAGGCCATAAATACGCAATTCTGACGGACTCTTTGAGTGCCTGCCAAGAACTCAATAGCGGTAAATTGGCAGTTAAAACAAATCCATTTATTACCGAAATCAGGCAACTATTTATTGAAATAACCAAAGAATCTAATCCCCCATCAGAAATCTCAATTATCTGGATCCCCTCGCATTGCGGCATAGAGGGAAATGAGGAAGCCGACAAGCTGGCGGGGGAGGCGGAAGATGACTCCAGCAATGAATTTAGAGTACCTTTTACGGATTTCCGAGCACTTTTTAAAAGAGAAGAACGAACAGAGACAAGCAACAAAATTGTTGAAATAGGGAAGAAGAAAGGTGCAGAATACTTCGAACTTTTCTACAAGGAGTCTGCAAGACCATGGTATGGAAAGTGCAAGCTCTCCAGAGAATGTATCGTCACTGTCAACCGCGTCAGAGCTAACCATTACCATCTTGCAGCCTCCTTGGCTCGAGTGGGAATCTCCAATGATCCCAGTTGTTCGTGTGGCGCAGAGAGCCAAACTTTTGACCACATCTTATGGCACTGCCCCAGGTACGATCAACAAAGAAACAAACTGGTAGATAGACTAATTAAAAAAGAATTTCCTAGGCCATATACGACGAAAAAATTTCTAGATGCGACAGATTTTCGGTACATAGAGGAAATATGCAAGTATCTAAACGACTGCCAAATACAAATCTAAATTAGAAACTAAGAAGAAAAAATGTAACAAATGAGAAATGTATTACTTCTCAAAGTGTAAATAACCCCTGAGATGGGTTCATCACTATAAAGTAATAAATAAAAAAAAAAAAAAATCGATTGGGGAAACCAAATTTTTCAAAATGATAAAAGTCATCGCATGATCTTTTCTCAAATTATCAAATATAGACAAGTACACAGGTTACTGCTTCCGCAGAACCTCTTCCACATTATTATCTGATAGTGGAGCAAATATAGACGTAATCAGACAACACGGAGGCTGGAGAAGTGACAAGGTTGCTGAAGGTGATGTAACTTATTTAAAAGAAAAAACGGCCAAAACTTTCGACGCCATTGGTGACTGCCTCGATATCAGATCAAGCAGATGCGACTCACCAAAACCTCACGCATAAACGCGAGCATTATTCCAAATCCATCTCTGATCAGATACCTCGCAAAAGGGTAAAGCAGCCGTGTCCTAGCATCAGCAAACACACACTAATTCCAAACTCAGACGACTCCGGTTTTCTCGACGATCATCTGGCTGACGATCTTCCCAGTGAGACGCCCATTTCTCATAATCTAGATTTTCAGAATTTTCAGTAGTAATACCACTAGTGCTCCAAAATTATCGGATATTTTCCGATAGCTGCGTTGCCTAGGAACGATGGTGTCAAATTTTGCAGGCTAAAAAGGCTTTTCTGCAAAATTTTACACCCTCGTTCCTATGCAGGGCAGCTTGAGGAAAATATCCGATGAATTTTGGAGCACGAGTGGTATTTAACGGAATATTTCTCGAGTCGGATTTCGGTCAAGCAGGATGCAGTATTTGAGGTTGTCATTGCTCTCCATCCATTTGTCATCCAAAATACTTGCTGTAGAAGTGTTAGAAAGTGAGGAACACTGGAAGCATCAGTAATAGTCTCTTTTGACGTAGCTTGTTCTAATGAATATCCTCTCTGTCCACAGAAATTTGAGAACTGTCGCCAAACGCATTCCTTCGATTTCACTGTGTTTATTGGCACATTTTCACTTATGGATTCATTAATTCCTTTCAGGGAAACCACTCCGAAGCGATTCATGTTGAAATTATGTGTTACATAGCCCTTTTTTCTCTCAAACTGTCAAATTAAATATTGCACGTGAAATGCGTCGAAAGATGAGACATTTGAAAATCTACTAATGAATTTCCGTCGGAAATTTTTAAGAAATTTCCGAAATAAAACTCTTTGACGACCTCAAATACTGCGCTCTGATTGGCCGAGATCCGACCGAGGGAAATATTCAAATATTCATTATTGTATCTGATTGTGAAAACATGGAAACAGTTCCAATCCTTTTACTATGGATCTCTTTCTTCCTTTATCGTCTCCGAAAATCTTATATAGGTTCCACAGTGATGCGGATCATCTAGATCCTAATACAATACAACAGATTGTATTACAATTAGTCTCTTTTTTTCACTGTTTTATTAGCTTTGTTTATTTAATTGAATTCGTTGTCCATTTTTTTAGTTTTTTGTATATATATATATATGTAGATACCTTTTCTCTTCATATTAATGAAGAGAAAGTGGTTTCTCCTAAAATCACTCATTAGTGGGATAATTCAGTTTCTGATGAGGCAGAAAAAATCGACTAGACACGCGTTACCACTTTGGTACTGAAATGTACACAAATAATTTCCTGAATCAATACTTTCTATCGAACTGCATCGAATGCAGATAAGCGATGATATAATTTCTATCGAATTTATGAATATTATCTTGTCGATAAAAAAAAATCCATCTTATCAACTACGCCCTTGGTACACAATATACCATTTACCAAATAAAAGGAGTTCTACGATGGATTTTGCTATATCCTATATTTATATTCGCTTTTTACTTTAGAAAAAATTTTTTGATTGTGTAACTGATCTCTCATTGTGTAACTTTGTCACTTTGGAGAATAAATTTTCCAAAATGAGCAGCGCAATAAAATGAAAAAAAATGCAGATAAGCGATGATATTCCGCAGTTTCGCTACGTGGCTTTTGTTGTTTTTTTTTCATCAATTTCAATCATAGTAAATCTCGAGATGAACCACAATCATTCAGAGCTACAAAAATATTTTGGAAATTTCGCCCAAAATAGCTTAAACGCCAGGAAGAATTATTAGAATCGTGGAGATGAATAGATTCGTTGACGAAAGTGGTAAGTTTCGAAAAACATACTTCATAGATTGTTAAATGTTGAAACAAGTAATGTTCTTTGATTTTTTAAACAATCACGAAATTAATAGAAATTTCTTTTCATACTCAATAATGCTAAGCAGTAAAATTTTTCAGGTCACTCTTTGATTAAGTTGAATGAAAGGAAGTACTGAACCACATGTATTCATAACTACAAATTCAGATCACGTCCGCAAAAAAAATGCGAGATTCCCTCAACTTTGGCTGGTATTACTAACAATAAATTGTGTTATTGTGTTACTCTTACAATATTGTAAATTCAATACTCACGGTGCAAATGCCGATTCTCCACTAGATTTGTCAAGACAATTGTAGTACTGTTCGAATTCAGCACGACAGTTCTTCTTCAACTTCTGGAAAAATTGTAGAGCACATGCAGTAACAGCTTTTCCCTCGTTCACGCATTTGACTGGATTCTGTTCTTCACGACGACATAGCATAAATTCCTGAAATTTCCAAAACCATGTCGTTAATTAACTGTCATCATTGACAGTCCTTCATTGACAGTCGGCTACATATGATTTATATGCATAATCAAATCGTGGTGAATTCCTTCCTATTTTCCGGATTACACTTAGCTGATGAGAAACTCCGTCATCTAGTTCTATTTCAATATAGTAAAAATCCCAAGAGAATGTTTCGTATGAAAAACAAAAGTTTATTAAATTCTAATCTTAGTGCTACAAGTCTGTAGGATGAAATGACAAACTTTTCAAGACAAATCCACACCAAACACAAATAAAATTCTGATAAGACATAACATAACATAAAATCTAGAGAATGAGGGTACCACATGTAAAAGGCCGAAAGGTCATACAGAACGGAATAAAAATAAAAACATTACATCTAGTATTGAAAGAAAAATTGAATAGAATGTGAGGGATAAATAGTTTGGCTATTTTTCTATGAGATCTTTCGGTGCATGATGTCATCAATATTTATTCCATCTTCGCTGATTATCAAGCACGGAAACCTCTGATAATTTTGAAGTTTATCCTAAAGGTTATGTTTTGCCAGTGAATCTTACGTAATATGAAAATTAGAGATTCCTCTGTCAATGAATTCAAATCAATCCCTAGGTTTTTATATGATTTTATTTTATTAAAATCAACTTCATCATGTATTTGATTAATTTAAATGAATACTGCATACTTACGTTATTGTGATATTCACAGGCCTTTCCAACATAGAAAGAAGCTGCTTGCAGAACTGGATATGAAATATTGAGCTCTTGAACTGTCAACTCCTCATCAGAAGGAATATAAGTTTTGTCAGTTACGACCATCGTTCCAGGATCGAATCAGTAGATGTGGGATCGGATTTGAGTTCACAGCTTTACAGAAATATAATACAACAAAATGAAATTGCTTTGACTTTATGTACAGGTGCATCCACAACGAACCACTGAAATAATTTTTCGATGTAATATCGATACTCACTCTTATCGATATTTTGACTCCGACTTCAATATTTTGAATTCTAATTTTTGCCACAGGCAATTAATACTTTTTCACAATTATAAAATAGTAACAAAAAAAAAATAAAATGCAATAATGTATTCCAGAGATATTCATATTAAATTATATATGACAGAAATGCTGAATATCAATCTGGTTTAAGACAATGAGTTGACTGCATAAATACAAAAACAACTTCTAAAATGAGTTTAAATGAAGGACCTATAAAAAAGTAAAATAATTCAATATTTTACCTAACCAATTTTCTTGATATATGTGTAATGATCTCTGTTGTAATCGTATGTGAATTCAATGCTCATAATAATTTTACTATTTTACCAGAATTCTAAAATAATCAAGATATTTTTAATGAAATAACCAAAAAACGAGGAAACCGTGAAAAAAAACGATTATAAATACAAGGTCCACTTCTGCGGGAAAATTGTTAAATTCGCAATTGATGAAGCTAAATGTCAGGAGCTTCGATTAGCATCAATTTCTCGAGGATTATGGATCATTTCAGGATTTATCTTTTTCTAAATGGGTAAACTAGAAAATAAATAAGTCGATAAATTAGAGGATCCTATAGCAATTTATTGAAGTCAAGAAGAAACACATTGTTTCGAAAAGGTGGTGAAATTTCTTTTACTTCCTCAAGAATGCCACAAAAATTTGTAAGTTTTCTGAAGAATCCAAAATCATGTTCGAAAATTCATCAGAGTTTTAAATTTGTCAAATATTGACAGGTAGCGAGCTCTAGCCTAAAAATGGATCATATTTGAAAAAAACTAAAACTATGAATCACTTTTGAAAAGTGAAAAAAACCCGACATTTTCCGTGTGTTCACGATGCTTAAAACTATTATTTGTTTGCTTCTTTATACCCACTCTATTAGCTTTCCCTCTCGCATAATTGCTTTTGTAACGAGTCGCTAATTGCCTAGATATAGATGCCATTATGACAAAAAAATAAATTTACATTTGAGTAATGCGGAGTTTTATATTTTGGAAGAGAAGATCGAAACATTTTTTTTTAAGAAATATGTTTAAAAAAAATGGCGCTGTTTTTCAACCAAACCATTGTTAATAAAAGGAATAAAAATTATGACCTTTGCTAGAAATTATTTTTTAACAATCAGCAGTTTGCAATACTAAAAAACAATGATCTGTTTCGAATACAAATTGGCGTCAATTAGTGACGGTGATTTATGAAACGAGACTCAATCACAAAATGATAGCCAGTGACTTGCTTTCAGTGGCTACTTCACGTTAGAAAGAGGACGTGGTCATTTCTGTATTATGATAAGAACATACAGAATGTACAATGTTAAATATAAAATTATATTTAACATTGATTTTATTCACTGAGATTCTGACAATCCATTCAGAGTTCTACAATGGTCAGCATCCTGCTGAACATTTGAATTGTGAAAAACGGAAATACCTGTCAAATAAAAGGTGCGAATATTTATTGTTTTATTGCCTCTTTCACTTTATTTGTTTTTGAGATATACTCCACATTAAAATTATTTTGAATTCTCAATGAACTTTTCAGTCTTTCACTTTTATTATAAGCTTTTCTGTTCTAACCTCTTTTCTTAACACTTAATTAACGTTTACATATATGATCACGCGTTATTATTTTTTATTATTTATTCTCACTTTTATATTTTTAAAACCATTAATAGATTGTAAGAATTGAAGACACAACGAAAAAAACGATGCGTTACATGACCGTCATTCAACTGACTTGATCATCAATTGACTGAATCCTAACGAAAAGCTATATTTGCGTAATTATAAAAGCAGTATAATGGATAAAATTAATATTATAAATGATAGTTAATTAGCATCCACATATACGCATTGAGAAATTTATCAGAAAATTTTTGTTAATTCACCGGAACATTCCATTGGTGATCCATTTTATTTCTATATGAAAATTTTTATCGAAAAAGGTTCCGTAATGTTTTTCTCTATTTTTAATTATGTGAAAGAAATTTTTCCACTTCATAATGTCACCGGTTCATCTAAGGGCTGCTACTCCATATCCTCTGCTGTGACATTTATCACCAGAAGCAAACATTAATTTATAAGTGAAAATGAACAATTTATGAGAAAAAAGCGTTGATCGTAATCATAAAGAATTTTGCAATTTTCGAATATATTCTCAGGTACATTCTTTACGATGTCAATCCGCCTGAAGGATTCAATCTACGGAGGGATGTATATGTGAGAATTGCTGTCTTCCTTCACAATCTGAATCAGGAGGACAAGGCGTATGAATGGATTTTGGTTTTACCGCCATGGGGTAATTAATTCGAAATTCCAAAAAAATTAATTCCATCTGCTTTATTTTCAACAATTTTCAATAAATAAAAATCCTCAATATTTTTATAAATTTTTCCATTTCACTCTTGCTACGTAAGAAACACGTTCACTTCTCATGAGTTTGTGTTTTGTTATTTACCATGAAAAGGGACCAGCTACAGGGTATCTCAATTTCTAAAACATTTTTATATCATCAATATAATCTTTATATATGTAGTGAAAAAGTAATTAAAGAACATTTTTCAAAGACCTTTTGCCGCAATGATTGTTTCTGGATTATGAATCTAAGGATTTACGACATTAGTTTTCCCCCTTTCAGTTCAAATTTCAGATAACATTCAAAAGAATTATAGCCGAGCCTCAAAAATTAATTTTTTCTACTGTAAGGAAATTGTTAAGAATTCAAATTGAAAGTTTCAAAAGTTTGTTGTATTGAATAAGTAATGATTTTTTTTCAATTATAATGTCAACCTTACGTGGATTATGGCATCCCTTTTTCTCTATTATATAATCTGTTGATAGATCACTTATATCATTGGAAGAGCCCAGACATTGAGGCCCAGTCTCAACTGCCATGGGGGCTGTTTTTTGATATCTCCAGTCTACGGAAATTCATCCCCATCATTGAAATGTACCAATTTTTCAAAGGTTATTATCTACATTTCGCATTAATGATCACATTCTTCTGGGCGTAGTGTCATTGTTCTGTGAAGATTGCACACTGCTAATTCCTTCTTGTTTTTCAACATTGAATGATCAGAAAATATAAATACATGAATTGATAAATGATTAATAAATACTTTTTTTTAATGTCCGTTTCTTTCAGATTATAAGTCGACCAACGGAGAAATAACGTTAGACCGTGTATTCGTACTTCAAACTGATCCAAAAATGTTTGAAACCAACGATTTTCACCCTAGAAATGAAATTACAGCGTGCGATCAGAATGTAATTAAATTCCAAAAAACTGGAGGAGAACGATTTAAAGGGCATTTCTGGGGCTATAAAAATATTACCGCCAAGGATGTTCAATGCGTATTGTTCCATGGGACTGCATCGAATTTGGTGCAAAATTTGGAACCGACTCAATACACGTAAGTTCTTAACATAACACCAATGTATTATTAGTCTACACCTCACATTAATTAATTTATTTAACTCCATAAACTCAACCGAAACTTTTGCATCGGACTTGCTTTTACATATGATCATTATTGGGGCATATCGTTCCATTTGTTCAGCGATATTTTCCATTCGTGCTATTCAATAACATTGTCCCCCATGCGACAAGCGGATGGGAATTCTACTGGAAACTTGACAAAAAAAAAGTTAAGGATTATCCGCTAATTTCGTCGCAAATCCGTTCTTCATTTTCCCCGACTGTTGGAATATGCATTTCAATTCTTCATGTTCTAGTTTAGTTATTTTATCATGTATAATCTTTCAATGAAATTTGACTGAAGTCTGGAATCACATCAATTTCTCTACGGTTAGATGAGTGTTCCTTTTCCAACTTAGCTTTCAACACCACTGCATTGAGAAAAAAAAAGTTTTTCGAGAAGCAAGTCTCTAGTTGTATCAAGAAACTCTTGATTCTGAAATTAGTAAGACAATCATATTTTACACGTGTTACAAATCTGATAACAATTTATTCACATTAGAAATGTGATTGGTCAAACCAATTCTAGCTAGTTAATTCATTGCTCATCATTTGTCGGAGAAGTGCAAAATCTCTTCATTAATGTTTTTTCTCTGAAATTTTTTAATACGATCTGCCTGATCTAGATAAGCACACACTTCCCAAAAAAACTTGTTCTTTTTGGATCAATCTGATAATTTAATATTAGTTTGTTTCGTTGCAATGATTTAAGGCCTATCCAATAAATCAACAAATTCCAGTGTTCCTCTTCTAGTTTTATTGCCATCGTAGAGCTAGATCAATATTTGTTGCATTTTAAATTGAATATTTTCACTCCTCTACTACGAATGCAAATGTTTCGTGCTCAGTAACATACCTTCAATTAATTACTGTTGTTTTCGCCATTTTCATCTACTCTGCAATCATATACGATTAATTTGATACATTAACTGATAAGGATTCTCCTAGAATTATTTATTAGTGTTTTAATACACCTGTTCTCCACTCGTCATTTTCCAAACTTCTGTTATTTCGCCGAGCTACAATTACTTCTCTGTCACTCTCTCATTAACTCAACAATGTTTAACAGAAAATTATTGATGAGATAGTTTTTGGGGACTTGTTGGTGAGAAAATAAAATCCTGGAAATAATTACAGAACTTATATGTTTGATCATATGGAAACTCCTCTTCATGATTCTTACGGATCTCGTGAATTCTGGAAGGCGAGGCGTAGTATGAGATTTAATTCTGAATTGAATGCAATTGCAAGAGAATTCCGAGAAAAATACCTTAATTCTACTGACAATCATGATAAAACTGTAAAACCCGTAGATTGGCGAAACGAAAAGGTAATTATTACAATTCATAACTGAACTATTGTAAGATTTTTTTTTTATTCTAACATATGCGGGAAAAGTTTAAATTTTCCTCCGACAAAAATCTTGAAATTTTGTCAAAAAGCTAATAATTTAGCTAATAATTTTAAGAGCAAGAATATTGACAAAACAGAATTCATGAAATTCCAAATTTTATTGAAAGTTGGAGTGAGTTGAAAATATTCCTCACTGACAAAATCAATTGTCCAAACTACTTGTCAATTGAAATACGCATATGAAAAAATTGATTTGAATTTAGAACCATATTCCAATAGGAATTTTGAGTTTGAACTCTTCTTTCCATCAAGTTGTGAAATGTCAATGCTTGAAGTTCTCAAAATTTTATTGCAACTACTACATGGTAAAATATTTTCAGCATGCGTATCGGAAATTTGAGGAGAATATTTTTAATTATGTTGAAAAAACGAAAATTTTATTATTTAGGGGCATCGCACGGCGATCGGTGGTCCATACTTAGCAGTACATTGGAGACGGGGAGACTTCTTAATAGGAAGAAATGCATATGCACCAACCATTGCAAAAGTTGCAGACCAATTGAAAGAACAAATGGTAAAGATAGGCCTAGAACTTATTTTCATTGCAACAGACGGTAAAGAACATGGTGAGAAGATTTTTTAACAACCTATTTTTCAACACCGTATGCTAGAAAGCATGATGAATAATCCGAGTGAATTATTCGTTCATAGAATTCGAAGAACTGAAAACACATATGAAAGGCTATAAACTCGAGAGGTATATTCCTTCTAAGCAGGTGAAACAAAAATTCAAAGACGGCGGGATTGCAATCATCGATCAGATGATTTGTTCTCATGCTAGGTAAGTCCAATTGTTTCATGAGCTTTCCTTCGCCTAGAGAATATTATAATTAACAGCCACAAGTAGTTTTAGATAAATAAAAAACTATGCGTCGCACAACGTACAATAGAACTTAAATGTGAAATGTGAAATTTAGAGGTCATTAGAAAATTCAATTAGACTCTCCCTAATTCTAGATAAAAATTTAGTTTTTCTGCGAGTTTTTCCAGTCCAAATGTTCACAAAAAATTTCTTATAGAAAACGACTGAAAAAATGACTGAAATTGGCTTTCTGTGTAGAACTAATGTTGTTACAAAATTTCCCATAGCAATTCTGCAATAGATTTTCCCCGAGAATTTTTTTTTCAATAAATCTGTAAACGATGTATGAGTTGGATAACGTACGGGGTGAGGAATGGAGATTACTTATTGAAAAAGAAAGAGGTTTATGTTTGTGGTCACAATACACTTTACAAATATATTTGCAATCAGTTTGAATTACGTTTCTTGTTTTCTAATAAAAAATCACACGATGAAACCATTTATCAAACCCATTCGAGGCCAGACCTGAGAAAACGTTTAGGTAAATGTCTACGTCAGGTCAACGTTTATTCAAGGGAAACGAAAACGCTTGGTAAAGGTGCCTGATTTGCTATATCCTTTATATCGTTGAATTTTGTCCATCATTAAATTGAAAATAAATATAGAAAATAGAAAAAAAACTGCAGAAATTACCTAAAAATTATGGACTAGCATTTTTCAGATGTCGAATTATTTGGTAATAATTGTGTATGGGCCCTGCAAAGAATGTTTCTGCCTCAATTAGTTAATTCACCAATTAATATACCAACACAAAGCCGCATCAATAATAAAATCAATCCACTCCATGTAACTAGGTTTCAACACAATACTAGTAATTTCCGACAAGTTGAGGATAAATAAAATTACATTTGCTTCAGTTTTCGGGGAAAAAAATTGTAGGCATATAAAAGCTCACTACCGATCAGTTCATATCCAGTAAAATGCTTACTGGTTGAAAGATTACAAAAAGAAATGGAAACACTACTCACACGATTTCTCATTTTTAACAGATATTTCATAGGAACTCATGAATCCACATTCACATTTCGCATCCAAGAAGAACGTGAAATCATTGGCTTCTCGACTGAAACAACGTTCAACTACCTCTGCTGGAAAGATAAATGTTCCCCGCAAAGTCAGTGGAAAATTACATGGTAATAGAACTACCCAAATATGATAAATATGGATGTGTACAGATATAATTTTTTACTTGCATTATAAACAAGTTTCCTTTTACGCCTAAATCCATTGGGGTTTTTACTGCCTCTTCCCATTCCCCATGCCTGCATGACATTCGTCTGGCCCCAAGGAAAAACCCTATTTGGGGGAGAAGCTGTGGCCAGGTATCGTTGTCTCCTTCAGGAAACTTCAGCTCACCAATGAAACTGAATTATTAGAAGCGTCAAAGCATCATTGACGTGATGGCCGGGATTTGCGTTGTAATTAATGGAATCGAAAATACATTTAATGGAATCGAGTTTTTAATCTTCCAATAGTTTTCTCCTAGAAGACAATCCGCGATCGTGACACGGATTCTTTCGGGGGTTTTTACATTAATTCCGTTGTCTCGGTTTGACAGACCGCATATATGTTATACTTACTCCAATGGCTCCTAGATCAGCTTTAGATTGGCACCTGATTCATCTAATTGTGACCATTGTTGGTTGGTTGGTTGGAAAAAAAATTAATGGCGTTATGATTGATGTTTTTCATTTTTCATGTTATTCTATTCTATTGTAAGTGAGGCTTAGATGATTAGCATTCCCCTCATTCAATTTTAATACAACATAACTTTTGTAGCAATATTTAGTTTACGATAATTTAAAAATTCATAAATTCATGACTTCATTTTCGATGTGTTCATAATCTCAGAATAATATAATATTAAAAATAAGATCTGTGGTCAGAACAATGGAATAACATGGGTGTTAAGTGACCAGCATAGTTCATTTGATGGTACAATCCTATTTTACCAGCCTTTTGGTCACCTAGATGAAGGGGATAGGGTCAATGGAATCCTTGTTCTTGTCTCAGTTGTTGGAGACGCAGAGCGCGTTTCTGCGTTAGAAAACCAGACATTAAATTCAACTCTTGATATTTCGCGGATAAAAGTCCATTATTAAAATTATCTGGCAATGATTACCTTCAGCTTCATGGTTTTCTCGTGAACATTTCCCAGTTCTTTCTTTATGGAGAACACTTTCTCTTGATAAGTCTTAATCAGGGAGTACTATAGTCGGACGTCAACAAAAACAGAAATTATCAGTAGAACTGGAGATGCAGATTGATATTCAATAATTTTTTGGTCAATTCCTTCATGTGGTTTTTCTTATTTTCATTTCAATATTTTGATGTTCGAACAGTGAAGGGTAATGTAAAAGGGGAAACAGGCATTACTTATGAATTATTGTTTAGTAAAGGGGAGTGGGGCAATATGAAATTGGAAAAAAACAAGTATTGAATGCAATTCAGGCCAGTTTTCTCGATCAGTCTACGTATAAAAAAAACATGAGTAGAGGTCATATTCCTTGGTTGCTCTTGCATTTCACATCATACTTTGTACCTAGTCATAAGGAAGAGCTGGATAGTTTCATTGTAATAGCTCACTGATTTGGAGGAATTTAGTAGTTGTGGGTAGTTTCTCGAATAATTTCTGTAAAATTCTCCATTTGACTTGATAAAAAGGCTATTCTTACTTTTACTTCTATTTTTTTACGGCTGTATCAGTAATAAATACTCGACTAAAACGATTGCATAAAATGACAGGACAATTTGATGTTTCCATACGATTTTATCTGTTAAGGCATTTTCTGTCATTATTACTCGACATAAATTTTCTAAATTTTTAAAACTATATTTTTTTTTTTCGTCATCTAATAAACAAACGCATAAATACAGAGATTTTTATATCGTAATTTACGTAGGAAATTGATATATTCAATGAATTGCATAAATAATTCAAGCACTATTGATTTCTTTCGCGAAATCGTGTTAAAAAAAAATTTCATGGACATAAAATAATCAGATATCGTACTCTAACTCATTCATCTAATTCTTAAACACAAAAAACGAAATGCATATTTTGACTTTGTTTTAAGTATGCTTACTACTGTACAGCACAAGTCATCCTTAGCGGCCTCCGATAGTTGCTTATTCTCATATTTCATCTTCTCGATTACATTTTTTTGTTTCTTCCTTCAAGAAAAAAGTCGTGAGATACTCAATAATTGAATTAAATTTTATAAACATTACAAACTATTTCCCTTACACTATTTCTTGCAGATCATTGTTTATCTGTTCAACGGAAGGTTGATATACTTCTAGAATCCCCTGTACAAGACTATCTGCATTCCCCGGTATGTCGACAAGCTGCTCGCTAGATCAGAATGAATAAATTTTATTTATATCGATGATAATCCACACATAACTAATTGGTTTACTTATGAGATCAATTCAATTCGTCTCAATAGAAGTGCACCGACCATTAGCTCTCGGATACAGGCGAGATGGACGCGAAACGGACACCGTAAAATTTTTTTGATTCTCTCAATTTTTTAATTTTTTTATTTGCATCATTTTGTTGTTTGAATCATGAAAAAAAGCAAAGATTTAAATGCTGATATGAATAATGGAGTACTAAAACATGGCTATATAAATCGCGCTTGAATAACTGAAAATTGAGCCATCACAGTTGGAATTTTTCAATTAGGGAATATATGCAGAATACTACCTGGTCTAATGAATATTCCAATGAATTTGGAGGGTGTCCGTTTTGCCCCCACACGTTCTACAAAATATCTTCATCGACAGAGTTTGTCCCTTCCTGTGGTTATATTCTACGCCATTTGAAAATGCTTAAGAATATTTTCTCGAGAAAAAAAAGTTTTTTTTTCTTAAGGTGTTCATTTTGCCTCTGTCTACCCTAAATACACTTGCGGACAAATTATATTGTAGAATTTATTTCCTCGACAAAGCCTGGCACAGCCAGGCTATAAACTTTTTCTCAGCATATCAATCGAAACTGTTCAAAATTAAAGATAAGCAATTAAATGCTGATGATTTTATGTTAACTAGGTAATGTCTCATTTTTTGTTGGTCGTAAAGATAGTTGCGATTACAATTTGATTAAATATCACTTGAAAACCTCATGAGTTGTTTCAAAATAAATTGTGATGGTAATTTCAATGATATAAAGAGAAGTTACATTGGCCTCATCTGATTCATTAGGGAAACTTACGTTTCGGAGTGTAAATTCGACTGAACCTCCGCTACAGCCGCTGCTTCAATTTCCATCATCATTATGATGCTGCAGTAAGTAAATCTTCTGTTGAAGTAGAAGTCGCACAGTAGTAGTGGATTTATTGGATTTATGCGGTTTATTCGAAAGCTAATTAAATTTTCTATCAAACTGTTGCAAACGATTGACGATAGATCGAGTAATAAATTATCGGTGGATAGGAGATATTCGTAATATGCTCAGAGGTCGAGTAGTTTACCAATAATTTGGCCAATGGAATGATATTAGGTTATGGAATTATTTACTTAACCTCCACATACCTAACTTCTCAGTGTTCTAAAAGGCATTTGATAAACGCCGTAAAACTCCTCCTAACGGGAGCAAAAAAATAAGTTTTAAGTCGAGAAAAATGCGCAAAATCTCTCCCCAGCAGAGATTTATAATCTCTGATATTCCTCTCCACATGTAATTTCGCAGTTTTTTTTCCGATAGTGTCCGAAATAATGACCCTACAACGTTGATTCAAAATAAATCTCGGGCACATGAACTCTGGTATAAGTCATAAGTTTCTTATTTGCTATATAAAAAAACCATCAACTCCTAAACATTGTCTATTTTTTGTCATCGCGTCCTCTCTACCGTGGGGTCGATACTAGAATTCTCGGGGCACACTAACTCTTCGTTCCAGACCTCTACGTAGATTTCTCCTCTATGAATAAAACCTATAGAATAGTAGAGAGTAGAGTAAATAATTTCCTCCCCTAAAACCCATTTAGCTAATCAAATATTTGGTGGATTAATTATGGAAAAAGACGACTATTTGACGAAACCAAACTCCAATGCGGAAATTTATCGCAACATGACCGTTGGAGAGCGAGCATCTGTACTTGACAAGCATTTGCAATTCATAGCAGTATACAACGGTGAGGTTATTTTTTGTATCGTACAGATTAGTCAGCCGGTCTTTATGTAGATAATAATAAGTACAAATTGTTTGCAGATAAGAAGGCAATTCTTGGAGGCAGCAATTTGACAGATCGGTACTGGACTGGAACCATTTGGTATTTTGATGACGCCGCAGACGGAGAGTTGGAGAGAAACAAGAGCTTTACTGCGACACAAACTGAGAGCACTTTGAGCGATGCTGCCTTTATCGAGGAGTATAAATTTGTTGTTGCTGAGGATGGGGGGATCGTCAAAGTACTTTGTGTGGTGCAGCCTCCGGAAACCTGGGCTGTGGCATTGCAGTGCGTTGGGTACACTTGTAAACATGATGACAGTGTTACTTCCCTCTCTGTTTTCGAGGACAAGAATTATTTTGTCAGTGGAGGAATGGATCGTTGTCTGAAAGTCTGGGAAACATCAACCCTAATGGTTGAATACACGTATCAATTAGCTCACACTGCAATAATAACTAGTGTTGATGTCCTCTCCAAGAGCAATTCGGTGTTCATGTCTACTTCTCTAGACTCTGAAGCAGTTCTTTGGGACGTGAGGACACCGAAACCTGCCCGGAGGCTGTATAAAAATGATGATGGTAACGGTTTAACAGCAGTCGCCTGCAATCCTCTCAAGGAACATGAAGTTGCTATAGGGGGAGAAGACGGCTATGTGTTCCTGGGAGACACACGCAAACCAGAGGAACTAGTTTACAAGTCTCTTGAGTTTCCTCGAGCCATTCACAGGCTCAAGTATCATCACAAAAGAAATAATTGGCTAGCTGGCTGCTGCAACGACACAATGGTGAAAGTGCTGGACACATCCCAAGAATTATCTGTTCTCTTCAAGGATGCTAATTCACACACCGACATGGTACGAGGATTAGCTTGGTGCAAGGACGAGCTCCTAACTTGTTCATGGGACAGCACCGTTCAGAGACACAGCCTGACTCTCGATAATTAGTGTTTCCGTAGAATTTTTTAATATTCCACTGATTATTTTTTCCATCGATCCCCCAGCAATTGTGCTATTTTCCACTCATCCCAATCAACTTTGTTATTATGTTCATTTCACATGTGATTACAACAGACCAATAGCTAAATTAAATAAGATAAGTAGAAAATTGAAAAATTGTATAGAAATAAGAGGAAAAGCTGTAAGATATGGAGAGAATATAAAAATAGTTTCTTCTATATCTCAAATTATTTTTTACACCCTCTCTAGATTTTGGCAATCACAAATTGTGTTGCGAATAATTAAATAAAGCTTTACAGAAAATAATGGTACATTCGAGGAGAATAGATTAAAAACGACCTTGAGAAACTAGGTATTGGTGTAAGAACGTGTGTCTGTCGTCCGGCGCCAATCCCACTACCACATCCAATCGTTTGATTGTCATATGTAAAGGAGGAGAAAAGCTCAATGGCTCAATGGGTTCAATATCATTCTTAATTTCAATTAGACTTTTTATATCGCTATGTGGTCGCGATAGTGCCTTTTTATCGCTATGTATCGTTCTTGTGAATCTTTGCATTTTCCCTCTCACTACCTGCAATTCTCTGAAAAAAAAATTGTTTTTTTTAAGGGCCTTATTCATCAGTATAGGAAACTGTACTAATAATGTAATTTATTGATTATTTACTTTAATTTAATATACCAGATTGTAAAAATGATTAGGATCACTTCCCAGAATCGTTCTGCATAATTTCATTTTTAAAAGAAGCAAGAAAAGATAGTTTACGGTGATTGTACGACATAATTTTAAAAAATTGACCTTATAGCAGTAAGGTCATCATAAATTCTAAAGCCTGTTGTTCTTAATATGTTCTTAATATTCCCAAATAATTTAATTACTATTGAAAAGATAATTAACATTATAATTAGTGCGCCAGGTATACGGGGTATACGGGATGCTCAAAAAATTGCTACATGCATTTTTGCCATGAAAATCATCATTATAGAGCTTATTCAGAATTAATCATACACGTTTTTATCTTCTGCTATTCTAAATAAGGAGTATAGTTTTTTGAATTTTCGAAAAGGCTGTTATGTCCCACAGAAGTTACTAGTAGGACAGTGGCGCCGTTAGCGAATATTTGCGCCAGATTTCAAATCGTGGAATTCGTTAGCTGCTAAACCTCTAATGAGGACTCCATCGATGTCGACTCGTTCAATTTCTTTTAGTGGATTCAGGTTTTATAAATAAAATAAATCCAAAACAGCAGTGCTGAGAAGAGCACGTAACACGCGTTATTTAATAACTTTTTAAACTTAACTTGAACTTTGAAATACTAACTGACTTTAAGAAAAACTATACTGTGTAGTTTAGAGAATAACTAATTGAAGAGTGAAGCGCCACGGTAACAAGTTAAAATCGAACTGCCTTAAACGTAACAAATTTTCCAAGGGTTGGGTCCTATCACCTCCACTAGTCTAAACGTTATGCCCGCAACTTGATCAAGGAAAGGGAAGAAGGGTAGAACAGGGAAAGCGGTCAAAAGGAAAACGCGCGACATCGCGTTTCCTCTGTCCACAATGGACAAATGTGAAGAAAATGTGTGTTGAAAGAAACAACTTCAGCAAAAACAGAACTGGTACTTTATGATTCAGACCATATTGATTTAGAGATTTATAATTTCCATCTCAAGCTTCGGGGTTGGAGACAATATTTATCCAACGAATTTCAAGAGTAATAAAATGGAAAGCTAAACTCAAGAGTGTTTACTAGGATAGTGTGTCTAACGGTTTTTCCCACATTGGTGGTGTTGTTTTCATTGTTCATTATCCATTTTCCATTGTATCTACTTATTTTCTGCGTATTTCGACACTGATTAAATTTAAAAATAATTTAAATTAATTTAAATTTCACGGACTAACATTAATCGTACATAGTCTACTACATACATCGAAGTCGTACATACATCTACTGGCTATCAAGCTCAGGACGTCACACCGCCCTCACTAGTAACTTCTGATTTCTTCCGTGTACTCCCCTTGGTGTCTGAAGTTTGACGAACCTAAACATCAAACCAGCGCCACCTGTGGTCAATTATCCTCGAGTGATTTATCGGGGTGATGTATTTTGCGCGAAAAACAGCGCGAATTAGCGCCAATTCGCGGTTTCAATTCAAACGAGGACTGATAATGTTTTTCGTAGCGATGAATGACGGATTACTCGAGGGGATGAATGGTTTTTCCTGGAGATAATTGGAGGGGGTGGGGGAAGGACCAATGACAATTAGGGCCTTACTCCCTCTACTTTTGACTCTACCCTTAATGCCGACCCCCTGAGGAGTTTGACCTCTCACGTATCGAGAAGATATTCACCTTTACTCTAATTCCCTGCGTCGGGCCATTAGTATCGTTTGTCAAAATTGCTTGTTCCGGGGTAGGAAGTGGAATTTGAAATATTCAGACAGGTGAAAATCGAGAGATTCTTGGAGTTGTGGGAAAGTGTAATTGATATTCTGGATCGGATTTTTTCGAGGAAACATGCACGTCGCTAAGAAGAGGAAATTGGACGATTTTGTGGAGGAGCATATCGCAGTGCAGGAGGATTTGACGACGATTCTTCCTGTTGATTGTTTATATCATGTATTCAAGTGGCTTGGGACTAATGATAAACTCAGGATCGAGAAGGGTAAATTAATGTTTATGATTAGGTGTTTTATTTGAATATTTGGGATTTTTGATGACGAGATTTTCTCGGAAAATTGGGAGTCGTTTTTCGGGGGGGTAATGGAGGTATGAGTTGGCTTCGCAGAAGGTCCTCATGGGAATTTTGTTGTCTCTCTCGGACGGAGAGGTATAAATAATCCTGAAGTGGAGGTAAAGCCGTAATTTTCCTTGAACGCTTTTCCGTATTCCTTTTCAGGGAAAGAGACCCAACGGAATCTTTTAAAGAGATTTGTGGATAATAATAATAATTAAATGATGAAAATTCTATATATATCAAAATAAATTTGAAATTTAATTTTTTTCTCATTCAGTTTGCAGAAGATGGCGAGACGTGATTACTGCCAAGGGCTGGTCTGAGGATGGGCCACGCTTGGATTTCTCGAAGTTTAAAAAAATGGCTTGGAGAAAAATATCGCAGAAACGGGCACGGTACACCCACACCCTCATTGTTGATTTCTCGAGAAATGAATTATTAGTCTCGAGAATAGTAAAAAAGTACTTCCATCGGTTGGAAAAGCTGACGATTACTATGTCCGGGAGTTATCTTCCCGAGAGATACCGTCCTGAATTTTTTGCAAATATTGATAAAATTTTTGATAATAACAAAAAGCTCAAGGTGCTCACCATGCTGGTTGATGATGTAAAAGTGATTGATAATTTTATTCATCACGTTCCATCGAATATTTCGGGGCTCTGCTTCGAATGCTCATCTGGGCCCAATGTCGATCGACATCTCTCGATTGTAAGTAACAGATATTCGACATGTATTTTAGCTCTAATCGAAACTGCAGTCATCAAATCGACAGGTGTAATAGTTAAATTGATTTTGTACAGGATGTATCGAGATTCGAGAATCTAGAACACTTCGAATTACTCAAGTGCAAAATGAATGAGGATAGCCTGAGGGGTCTGGGCAATTTGCAGCACCTGAAGTCTCTGATTGTAAAATGCGAGAATGGGGATTCTTCGCAGAATCCTCTGATAACATCAGCGCCCTTGCTGAAGCTAGAGAAATTGGTGGTACGGTGTACCATCTCTGATGAAGAGTTGTCGAATTTTCTTCGAAACTGTCCGAATCTGCGGGTCTTCATGGCCTTATTCAACGGTAAGCAAAAAAAAACAAACAAAATAAGCATGTTTTGATATATTGATAAAGAAATTTCAATTAAAATGTCTCATTACAGGTGGAGAGTATCTACTGACTCTGGAAGCTATTAAAGCCCTGTCTTCATATTGCCCTAATCTCCTGGAGCTGTATTTTTACGGCCACTTCCTGTTCACCGAGGAGACGATGCCCCGTTTTCCCAATCTGAAGACTCTAGTCTTCACCGATCCAGAGTGCGGACCCCCAGACCGCAATCGCATCGTTGAATTCATTCAGCATGCACCAAAATTGGATACATTATTCGCGAGTTACTGTGCTTTTCACCCTTTCCTCAAGGAAATCCACGATGTCCTTCTGAAACGACCCACGCGTATTCCCCTGGAGCTTGTACTCCCGTCTTTGACGAAGAAATGGAGAGAAATCAAATTCTCCAGTCTGATAACTGTCCATTCTCCTGATTATCTGAATCAAACACGTCTGATGAGATACATGGAGGAGAAGAGAATAGACACCACTTTATGATGCAGAACAAATTGATCATTAATATTCGTTTAGTAAATTCGTCTATCATTCTGTATACCGAGAGGAGCAATTGTATGCATCATATTTATCGATGCATGCCCCATCAACTTTTAGAACTTTTTAGATAAAAAAAAATACTAATCAAAATCCATCCATTTTACGAATTACTAGTTAATAATCAGGAGTAATTATAATTAATTAATAACTATAAATGTAACGAGGAAGATTTTTTATGGCTTGTGTACGTATAAAATTGTGAAATTAACATAAAGGAAATAAAGTGCATTATTATTATAATTTATCAATGTTTTATTAGAAAAAATCAATGAATGAATGAAGAATTGCAGTTTAAAATTAATCAGAAATTGGAATTCAAAGAAACGGAAGTGACGATGAGACTCGGTCGGCTAACCTGAGACCTTCAGGTAATTACACGTTTCCTACAATACCATGGCCAAGCTCCACTTTTTTTCACCTATTGATCCCCTGCGTCTTCTGTTAGTTTTGAACACGGTTTTTACTCTCAACGCATTTTTTTAACATTTTCCATATTGTTTGTGCAAAACAAATACTGTGGCAATACCTCATCTGGTGCTGGGTATGTGAAGTGATTTTCTTGAGAACAATTGAACTGACATAATGGCTGATTCCTCGTACGAGAAGGGACTGAGTGAACTATCGAAAATGAAGGTTAGATTTGTAGTTTACATTCCTTTTATTTTTTCCCTGGCTTCGATTTCTGTTGGTTTTATGGTTGTTTTGATGCAGGTCGCTGATTTGAAAGCTGAGTTGAAACAACGGGGATTGCTCACCACTGGAAACAAAACCGAACTCGTAGAGAGACTGCAACTTGCTATTCATGGTGGTGAATATTATGTGCTTTACCATCCTTCTAGCTCACTTAATTTCTGTCATTGGATTTCGGTGCTGCTGCGTGTACTTTATTCCCGTACGATTTGTTTTTCAGACTCCAGTTTATCTCTCGACGAAACCACTGACGAGATTCTGGACGAGGACGCAGTTCTTGGAGTGAGTGAGGACGTCAAAATCTTGTTGATGTTTTTTGAATTACTTTCAAACTGGTTTTTTAATTGTTTTCCGTGAATAGGATGAAGAAATCGAGGAATTATCCTCCAAACCAGACTCTCAGGATGTCGGGGAGAAGAGGAAATCGACAGAAGAGACAAGCAGTCCCGTACAATCCAAGAAGATCATTTTGAATAGAAATCCTGTTATTGAGGAGGTGAAGGTCGGGGAACCTGAGGAGAAGGAGGAAAAGTCTGAGGCAGCTGGTGATGATGCACCTGCTAAGAAGATTATCAAACTTTCGGAGCTGGGGGTAAAGGAGCGTTTGGAGATGAGGGCCAAGAAGTTTGGTGTTCCTCTCTCGGACTCTGCCAAGAAGGAGGCGAGATCTGCTAGGTTTAATAGTGAGAATCAGAGCAATGGGAAGTCCTCTGCGTCTGTAAAAACTCCCGTTGTAAGTATCTTTTCAAATAATTCGATTCAATTCTTCTTTTTGAAATTTTTAATACTTGAAATTAATTTTAGAACACTTCTTACGAAGTTTTGAAGAAAAGGGCCGAACGATTTGGAACCAATGCCTCTGGGCTTATGGAGAAGGTATTTTCAGTACTGTGAATTTTTATGAAGACGCTAGCAGCGAAATTTTAATATTTAATTTCTTCTTTCAGGCTGAACTCGAGGCGAGAATAGAAAAACGTAAAGCTCGTTTTGGTGAAGTGAAACCCACAGAGAAAACATTCCCCAACAGAGTAAAAATCGTCAAATGATATTCTCTACTTTATACCAAAAAGTGAGCTTAGACCCCTAGCCATATACTTTTCTTTATCCAATGGGAATCCCACCAAAAATCAAAAGACATGAAACTGTATTGTCAAACCAATTTTCATATTAGCACCCATAAAACAGTGATTATGGCAAAGTAAATTGACAAAGATTAACCTTTCGTTTATGAATATTTTATGGATTAGCGAAAATGAATGACTAATACACAATTTTTACGCAAAAAATTAATTTGTTTATTTCATTTTCTAGATATAATCAGGCTTTTTTTCATAAATATTATGTATACAAACAAGAAAAGGTCTACGAGACCGAATATTTTATTTTTCATGTCGATAAATTGTATACTTTGAGATAGAAAAAGAATTAAAACATAAAAAAAAAAACAAAGATCATGTATCGTTTTGCCAGAGCCAATTACACTGATAACAACTTCATTAATAATCGACTCTCCCCAGAGAAGAATAAGAAATAATTATGCGTGTGTTTTTCAAACAAGAAGATCATATAAAATAAATTGCATTCATTGGAAAAAAAAAAACGAAACGAAAAAGAATTAATCACGAGTGTAGAATAAAAAAAATCACTAATCCTCGAGCTCCATTTTCCCAACTCGAATAATTCCCGACGATGAAATTAAAGCTTCATAAGAAATCTAATTTAAAGGACATTTATCACATTTTTCATTCGTCGTGAATGAAATAAATTTTCATGACCGGCATTCTCCACAATAAATTCATCAATCATATTCTCTACCCGCGAATCGATTTACGATTAATTTTCCATTAAATTCTTGAATCGACAGAATATCGAATTGAATATTTCACGACCATATGAGAGCCTTGAGGTACTGAATACATTCTTAAAAGGCAACATCATGAATTTCCAATTGAAAACAAGGAATTAAAATCCCCTCTCATCTTCTTTCATTCATTAACTTGTGCCGAGATACCAGAAGGAGAAATAATCATTCATCACCTCGATATCATCGATTGGAAATAAAAGCGAAACATCGTAATACTAAGTGGTGCGATCAGAACGAATTGAACGCGTTTTTACAATTTAATTCAATCACAATGGCAACACTAATTTGCCTATTTTTAATTTGTCTCTTCCGTTATTCCGTTCAATTAGGTAACGAGTACGAAGATTCCAAGCGAAATTCTCTAGATTTGACAGAAAATTTTTTCACCTTATCGAGCACAATTTGTCTCTGATATCAAATAAAGTTGCCATGTACTTTGAATATCCAAAAACCAAAGTAAACAAACACTTGATTATCGAATAATTCACAAGTACCCTCATTCTACTGCTCATTCTACACGTTCGATCGTTGATTGTGTTATTCTCTCCATTTCTCTCATTTTCTTACTTAAAAAATTAATAAGCCTTTGCTCCGCATTACAACTGTTACACTGCCTCTACGCAAATACTTTTCATTTAATCTACGCGAATTATTGTTGTCTTAACGCAGTAAAGGACAGAAAATACCAGAAATTAAGGAGAGTATCAGCGCCTGCTGCAGAACACGGGTGAAAATTTCAAGGGTTCATTAACAACTACTTGGGCCTCAGGTTACCCACCGGTGTGGGCAGTGTGAAATTGTTTGACGTCGAGAGCGTTGGGGTTGATGCAAATGAAGCTGACTCCGGAACACCTGTGCTCACACTGTTTGTTTCACTCTTGTATCGAATATTTGTGTATTCACGACCCAACTGGAGAGATTTCTGCAACGTCAAATTGTTTTTTTTTTGTTTAATTTTATTTTTACCAGTCTGTGAACGAGCCTGTCTTCCTTCATTTGATATTTGCATACATGCGACATTTAAAATTGTAACAAACCTGCTCAGCTTGTCTTCTCTGGGACACAGTCTCAATATAATGCAATACAGCGAGATAAACGAATTTGTATTGTGCCTCAGTCTGCACCATTCCTGATCTTTGAGATCGGACCTTCTGAATGGTTCGTTGAATGTCGATTTCACAGTCCAATCCTTGAAGAAAGAAAATCAGAAAATGAACACTCATCGTCTCATGGAAAAGAAGAAAGTATGATGCAATTAAAAAAAATCCTCACCATGACGTTTAATCTGATCTAAGATCATATCAATAACAATGAAAGTGCCAGTTCGTCCGATGCCAGCACTGCAGTGAACGAGAATAGGCCCCACAGTAGAGAGAGACTGTCCACTGGAGCTCAAGGCAGCTGCAATCGACTCCTGTCTGGCATTAACATCGTGCAGAAAGTTGAGAACGCAACCGGGATCCGAGGGAACTCCGTGGTCCGGCCATGCCTATGAATATTCATTCTTCCCATCAACAACGGCTTGAAATTCAAATGAAAAATTGTAATAATTCGCCATGATTTACGTACTTGGAAGTGGTAGTGGTAAATTCTACGTGGCTCTGTGAAATTTGGCTTATTTCCTTGCAATAAAAATTCACGTAACGTGTAATCAGCTGTGGAAGTGCGTGCTAGAGCACGTACTTTCCATTCACCCCCGTATTCACTCACTTCACCCTCTTCTGGCCAATAACGAGCGCATTTGTTCTGAAATTCGGAGTAATTATGATACTTGGAAATTTTCGAAAATTATATTCTTCTATAATTCTTCCCAAACAATTTTTCAGCCATTCTTTAATGGTTTTCCATTCATTAGATGGATTATTTATTATTTACCTTCCCTCGCTCCATTTCTTTGGTGGTCATAACAATAACCTGTATATTCTCTTGATAGACCATGTGCCAAAAGTCTTGTACAGTATTTGGTAAACAGCCTTGTGTTGCAATATAACATTTATTGAATATGCAAGTATCACCACTGGCCGTAATACCGGTGCATGAACCCTCTCCCTCCTCATTCTGTTAACATGAAAAATTCATTGAAACCCACAATAATGCACATAATAACGTTCAACGTTACGCTAATGCACTCTCAATCTCTAACCTTTATGTAGTTAGCATTAATGTAATCCGCCCCTGGTACACTGGGATCCACGTCCTTCAGTTTAACTCTCGTGTGATCGACTAAGTACACACAATTACGAAATCATTAAAGATGCATCAGCCTCGATTGAACGAGGATCGACATAAATTACTGGATAAATAGGAAAAATCCACTCACAAGGAAGAATATTCTTGTATCGATTTTTTGCTCTGTTCTCTGATCTCAATCCCTCCTTCCTCGAGAACAGGTGTCGACACTCCAGTTGCTGGAGGGATTCGAACTCCTCCCAGAAGCCAGCCTTGCCCTTCCCACGACCAGAACCAGTCTCATCACCATCAGGTCCGCCATTCCAACATGTCCAGCCATTGGAGCATCCATTCTCCTTATGCAATTGTCTCACACGACTCTCTATACCACTTGCACTTATTCTCGTGGCGTTGAAAGGTTGTCTGCAATTTTTTTTTATAATTTTTTTTTCAAGAAATTAATTAATCTCAGACAAAGGCTCAAGGGTCAAGGCGATGTTACTTTAATACATTCGAATTAAAAGGGAATCCCATGGAATTGAGATGATCTCACCTCAGATGAACAACACTCCCACTCGTCTCCACCATCGGATTCCTCTTGTAATGCTCAATGAGATCACTCAAACTATCGAACTTCTCCCCGCCCCCAACGTCATATTTATTGTCCTGAGAATAACGAGGAGTGAGTGAGAGGGATTATGCATACAGCTGGTGCACTTAAATGAATCTTTACCTGTGAGCGGATCATTACGTGAGTCACGCGATCGTCAGTCCTCACTGAGAGTACAAAGTCTCCTGGTTTGCTCTGGGACTCTCGAACTAGAAACGATCCGTTCTTTCCTCTCTCGAGCATCAAACGTTCAGCCTCTTTGGCTGACAGATGCCCATGAAACCAACGCTCAGTCGTTGGATCAGCACAATTAAGGGGATATTTTAATTCAATGACTTCGCCATTTTTTTCACGCAATTGTCCACCATTTTCCATATAAAATTGCACTAATTCTGACAGTGTTGCGAATTTTTCACCACCATACAAATCATAAAAATCACCAGTATTCTGTATTTTTATATGTGTTACTTCACTGTTTCTCCTATTATTATAAATTCATAAGAAAAAAATTATTTTCTGCTCATGTCGATCATTCGCAGAAGGTGAAGGAATATAGAGAGTGGAGAAAGAAATCCTGTAAATTTTCCGTGAGATCTCGTCTGTAATTTACACGAAGTTATGAAAATGATCTTTTTCTGGTTCGTCATAAAAATACACATGTGGTTGTAATTAATTGAGTCCAACAGTTCCACAACATTGAGTCCCCAAATAAATCAGGAAAAACACCTTAAAAATTCCGATTGACCCATATTTTCATAACTTATAATTTCTTCAGAGTTAAGAATCAAATTCAGGGTTTGCCTATGGGGTTTTTGAGAATATTGTGGTGAGCAACAACGAACAGTCTATCGTGAATCCCTGTTCTCATCTCTCTACTCCCCTCAACCTTCAATCAGCGAACAAATCCTACCTCACAGAAAGTGTGAAATCTCCAGGATTAGATGAGCTCGGACGTGCCAGAAATGAACTGTCATATCCACGTTCCATCAATAATTTCTCTGCCTCCAGTCCTGATATATTGGGATGAAACCATCTGCAACGATCAGAAAAAACTCCAGATATCGAATTGTCCTCAAGAAAAAACCACAATGTAACAACGATCCACTGTGGTAACTCTGCCGCGCCCCATGACTAAAATGTTTTATTGACAAAACGTCTCTTCATATGGATACAACACCGATAGCCCCCAAATACGGTGATCAATTAAGTTCAATGTGTCACAGGGATTATCAACAAATTTCACCAGCGACTGGGGCTCGTTCCATCAATCCATTGTTAAAATCAGTTGAAAATTCTCAACGACTGTTGGAAAAATAGGAATAACAACTAGAAATAGTATTTCAAGTGGAGGTATTTGGTGGAGGAAGCGTAAGTGCGCAGAACTTGACGTAAAAACCGACAAGTCGACAGTGCGAGCACCTTGCAGAGACTATTCGCGCAGTGGCCGTGAGTCTATGATCATTACACACATCTCAGGTAAAAAAAAAAGGTGACGAGAGAAGGAGAAAAAAAAATGGACATTTTTCAGTGGTCTCTCCGCCCCCGGCAATAATGCTAATAAAAACGAGTGAAAAAGCAATGCTCACCTGCGCGATGCCATGTCGTGATTTGAATTATTACCACCTGGCAATCAATGATTTTTTATTTTTCATCAATCCTCTGTTGTCTCGGGTGGAAATGTGAAAATGAGAATTGCCCGTGCCGCTGGTTGTCGGCGGGTTATTGTCACCCAAAGCCCCGCCACTGTGCCGACATGTCCGGATTGATCGGTTTTAATTGATCAGTTTTATTGTTTATACGATTTAATTACGTGAATTTGGATTTCGGGTGAGTTGGCTCTCGCGTTTGGCAAAGTTTTTTACTCAGAAAAACAGTGCGAACCGATGCAGAAATGGTGGTGACTGCTCCGCGGGCATTGAATTTGTGTAGACGCGTCGACGTGTCTTCTTCTGAGTATTAGACTTGAAGAAAGGAGTCGCTAATTTTCACACGCGGCTTTAGGTTTCACATCGCCAAATTCAAATTTGCGAAAAAGTTCAATTCACACTGCACACTCAATTTCGTCAACAAATACCCGCATCATATTATCTTCATTGTCCACAAACGAATACGTAATATTTTTTTCTGTTGTCCATATGAATTATTGTATTCTGGAAAATGTACATAATTGGCTGAAATATCGTTAAACACTAAAATAATCAACCGTTGATAAATTACTGTGCAAACCGCGAATTTAAGCAAATTTATTTATAGCAAACAAGCGCAGAGAAAATAGTTTTCTAAAATAATGCGTAAAAGTTGTGGATATTTGTTATTATCATTACTCCTCAGCAATAAATAATTGAAAACCACAGAAATGCTGGCAATTTGTTATTTATTTAAACGTTTTTCTTCATTTTTTTTCTTGAGAACATCTTAAAGAACTAAGCGAACATGTTTTTTTCACACCGAGCGTGATAGTAGGCTAATAGCAGGGGGGAGAATCTGTAGTTGATTTTTTTTTGGAAGATACATAGGTAATTCGTAAAAACGGTTCAAACGCAACGAATCAATAATAAAAGAGAGAACAGGGAGGGAAAGAACAAGGGAGTGGTTGTTAAACACAAAATGTACAAACGAAATACAATACGGTACATATTTCACATAGTCTCTTGTCATGTCCTCGCCTTTCATCATGTAACGGCGATGAGTACGATTTTTTTTACACTCTGTTTTGTAATTTAATTTTTATTTACGAGCTTGGCGCATTCAAACTACTTCCTCCATGGTAAATTGTACATTTTACTCGACTTACATTCTAATACGCCGCGGGTTTCATGTTCTTCGTATTTCACGTGTCTTTTTTTGTTTGCGATTTCATTCAAGATAAAAAAAATAATGCTCTCTGAATAAACAAAAATCAGGTGGTACGAATATTCCTACGCACAACTGGAAAAAAAATAACACTCAAGACCTGGGAATATTTGTTTCAATGAGTGACATAATTCTTAGGAAAACTTGTCAGTTGTTTTTTAAATTATTCATGTTCTTTAATGAATCGTTATCAATGATTAATGACTCATTGAATTCAGTGAGGAAAGGAAATTCGATATTTTCACGTGTTCGACTCAACAAATTTAATTGAACAACAAAACTTCCCCACTGAATTAATAAGAAATAAATATTCTCCGGAGTCAATACGTCACGTTTGGAATAATCGCACGTGTGCCTACACCCCCAACCACATTTGTTAAATCAATGTACATTAATACGTTTCCAATGAAAAGTTTAATGTGCGCACGTGTGTCTATGTCCTCATTTTTTTTATATATATTTTCTCTTTTTTTACATTTTTTTCCTTTTTTTGAAATGCGTATCATCTTCATTCACTTTGTATCGTTTTTTTTAGATTTTTTAATATAATAAAATTATTAATTTGTTTCATTTTTTTCCCTAATCTTTGTTGATTAGCTGTTGTTGCCCTGTGAAAACTGCCTTCTGTCACAACACAATAATACTTGCGTGGTGTTACATCAATAATTCTTCCTTATGCTTCAACATTGCTGAATGCAGCCAATCCCCATTTCTTTCACCAGCAATTGTTGCCGTATTTTTATTATTTTTTTTTTTGTTATCACTATCGTGTCATCACTTTGTTCACCTATCAAACGATGAAAGAGAGCATAACTCGTTCATTCATTGAATTCAGCAATTCGTTCAAATCAAAATTCTAAAGTCCCTACCGAATTTTAAAATCGAATATTGAGAAAAATGTTGATAATACTTGATAATGTTGCGCGCAATAATACACAACAAGAACGGAAAAATGGACTTGTCAAAATTTTCGGTTCAAACGAATCAACTGAGGTCTGACGGTGGTACAATTACGACAGTGTGTGTATTTTTTGTTTGCCTTTTTCTTTTTGCTTGTATTTAGACGTTTGCGTTAACTCATTACTCGTTGCATCGGTGAAAGTTATTGTTGCGCCTGCGGTTTATTGCTGCGCGGTGTGTATCCTCCACGAGAGCCTCCCCTCTGACCACGAAATTGTCCCCCACGTCCTCGATCCATTCCAGTGCGTTCTCCAGTCCTTGGTCCACCTCGAGAGCCACCAGTGCCACCACTACCAGAATTACCACCACCTCCGCGCTTGAATCCACCATTGTAACCACCCGTGCTACCGTCGTTGTGGTAATTCCGTTGATAGCCATTTTGGTAGTTGTTCTCGTGTCGATAGTAGTTGGCTAGAATTACAAGAGTTGAAATGCTTCAAATCTCTCAAGGAAATCAATCTGATATCGATATTCGATCCTGAAATATTCCTTAAAACACGTGTATCCACTTGGAGAAGGCGTGAAAGTCATAAACAACAAACTTGGCACGCGGCAAATGTGAATATCTTTGATCTTCGAACCTTTCTTACGTCAATTCTACTAAATTCGAATCAACGTTTGTATAAATTCGATTTATAATGGCATTACTTCATAAATCTCCAGATGAAAATCTTACCTTGACCAGTTCCTCGCCCATTCTGCTGATAACCACCACTAGAGCCTCTTCCCCTGCCATTGTACCCATTGGAATTGCCCCGCCTTCCCCCACGACCCCGGTAACCACTTCGCTGCTCGCCCCACGCCTGCTGACCACTCTGTGAATCTTGCTGACCTGATTGCTGCTGATCGGCATCCGCTGAGTTCCACTCATTAATCGGAGTGTTATCAGTCATCTGGCACCAGTCGACCGATTCATTGGGCCGATCAACATCCGTCGTGACAATCGATGGATCGTCCTGACGCTGATCACCCTTATCCTCGACGGAAATTTGTGCCTCAACCTCTACAACGCCCTCATAGCCCTGCATTCCCTGTCCCTGATATCCAGCTGGATGCTGTGGACTGTACTGAAGATTTCCCTGATGTGACGGTGGCATGGGTATAGGTGGTGGTGGATTTGGATTGGCAAATCCAGGAATGTGACTCATCTCCTGGGGTGGATGAGGGTAAATAACTTGCTGTGTCACTTGAACAGGTGCACCCCCAAAGCTCTGATTGGTGAATGTCTGGGTTGGTATGGGTGCATTGACTGGTGGAATGTGTGGTACTATGGGCTGAGTGCTACCCTCAGGTCCATCGAGCTCAGACTCCTGAAGAAAAAAGAAATTGGGTGTTCCACCGATGACGTCGTTTATGCGAGGAGGTTGTGACTGGGTTGGTGGTTGTGTTTGATTCTGTGGTGGTACAAAAGCCCCAGCATTTGCGTAATAATTCGTATCAACAGGTGCAGGATGAGGTGGAATAGCCTGGGGTACAACTGGAATTGGTCCTGGTGCTGATACAACTGGCACTGGTGTCACTTGAACAGGAAAATTGGGCATTGGAATCATTGATTCTGGGGGTGGAATGTGTGCATCGCCTGTTGTGTAGTCCTCAGTCGTCTCTGGTGCGTCATTGACTCGAATCTCAGTGACAGCATCAGCTATCACTTCAATCGTCGTTTCAGTTTCTTGCACTTGTGCCTGATCGAAATAACCACACTGATTGACTGATGTGATGATTTCCTTCAGCTTCAGATACGTCGTACCCGCTACCTCTCTCTGTTTACCCTCGATTATAGCGATGTAGTGCTCCGCTGCTTTCTGCAGTTGCTGGGGAAACGGGGTATGGGTGGTATCAGGGCTGTCTGGATGACGTTTCGCTGTTATCTCGTTATAAAGCTCGTCCATGGACTTTAGGTCTTCCTCGGAGAGTTTTGACGCACCGTTACTACCAGAGAGAAAGTCCTCACGGGCTATATCCGTACCCATGTTGTTCAGGATATCCTGGATGAGAAGAACTTCTCGAACCTGTCGAATTTATTCAGCATTTTTACTAATGAATGCCCTCCCTCGAAATCCGGGAAAAATACACAAAGGATTTGTTTTTTCCAGCAGACACGGGGGCCAGATCTTGTATTTTGGAAGGAAGAAAGTCATTTTTTTCCGATACCAAATTTTTTCATTAAATAGCCGACTGCTAGAGTCCTATAGAGAGTGATATTGGTGGCATAACTTTTATTCTGTTCTGATTATTGTATTCACTTGGAGAAGGCGTGGGAGACACGTCGATCACACACGCGGCAAAGGTGAACCTCCTTTCTCTCTCGAATCATTGTTCCATCGATTTAATGTCATTAATTCAAATCAATGTCTTTTCGGATTCGAGGGGATTCCATGGGATTATCTCAAATGATCAGCTTATTTCCCGATTAACTAACTACAATTATAATGGAATTCATCACTGACCTTGGCGATATCCTGCTGCGTCCTCTCCAGAGCCTCCTTCCTCGCGAGTTTCTTCTGCTGTTTAGCCGAGTCATTTGCAATTCCCACGATCGCCTTGTACAAATCCTTTGTGATGTCCAGTGTCTGTAGAACTTCATCATACTTAGCGACAGCTGTTTTCTGATCCTTGTCAAGTTCCCTACCACTTTTCTGGAGATCCCTGTACCCCTCTAGTTTACCCTGCAATCCCAAAAAGAGCGTCAGCCAATGTCCCACACTCAAATCGAATTCCCCTCGTCCATATTCTATTGCTTCTACTAAAAAAAAACACGTTCGCACAATTGAACTTCGATGACTAATCGCGTCTTCCAAGAAGAGACAATCGCATGAAACTCAGGGTAAACCATTGTTTCTATCGCACCGACACAATCAATAGCAACATGCGCTCATAATGTTGTTATCGAAAGAGAAACATCAATTGTAAAAGTTAAAAAAAGAGAACAAAAGTGCAGCAAATACAGTCATCAAATGAATGACTAGAAGTGATCCGTAATAAATTATATATTGTAAATTGTATTCGGTGTTATCTTGTTAATTAACAATATGGCCAATTTTTCAAATGTCGTGGGTGAAAACAGAGGAAAAATTGAAAAGCATTGCAGGACAAAAGAACAATAGAAAACATATCGCCAGAAGCTCATAAAAACACATTATCAATACTTTAAAAACATTAAACGTCAGGTACACGGAACAATTTATAGATGAAGGTAGGAAAAAAATTCGGGATAGATTCCAGGAGGACAAAAGCATGAAGAGAGTGAAATCCAGGGATTATTGCCAGTTCGAGATAAATCTAGTCAGGTGCAAAACGGTTTTATTCCGGGATTTACTAGAATGATATCTATTATCCAGAATTTTATGGGATGGACGTCAAGTTCACCATCAAATGACTAATTTCTCTCTGAATTTTAATTCCCAGTTTTTTTTCACATGCACTAGAGGTCTGTGAAGGACTTACTGCGTAGCACAAACTGTCGATAAATATTTGAGGATTTATTTTAGGGGCGAATGAAAAATTGAAGTACCGAGAGAATTCTAGGTACATGGGACGTGTGAGAATAATTTCTCTGGGTAGAAATATGGGATTCAGGAACCGCCATGACACGAAATTTACGTCGTGGTGTCCGTTGGGACGCCTCGACGTTGTCCTAAAATACGAGATGAGGAGACGAAGGAATAAAATGGGAAAATAATGAAAATGATAATCGAGGATATTAAGTGTTGAGGTGAGATAGTAGTGAGTTTAGGCGTGGAATTATCGAGTACGATCAGTGAATAATTGGAAAATTCGAGGGGCCGAGCACATGGTGCCACCGATGGAGGAACATGGCGGACGATCACGGTTAGGAGCCGATTGACAGATGAATGGATGGAAAAAGCCGGAAAGAGATGTACCAGAGGCATTTGCCGGGGTTTTCACGACTTTTACTCACCTTACGCTTCTCCAAATTCCTTATCTTGTGCTCGATAACGGTTATGGCTTGGCGTATTGGGTCGGCGGCCTCCGTAGAGGCCTGTTTTTCTAGTTTAGGGTTGGCAGAAGGCATCCTTCACGGGCAACAAACGCGAACTGGAATGGCAGCGGCAGCGGCACAACGGGGAGGGTGAGGACCTCCATGCGACCCTCCGACGCATGCGCCGCCACACGTTTTCCGGTTGACCCGCGGGTCACGTGAATTTTTCAAATTTGTTACACATTCTACACACTGTACACCTAGTCTCTAGTTATTTTCACCTTTGGAAAATAGATCATCGAGAATAATAATTTTTCCATGAGCGGGGCCGACACAGCGAAAAAAAATCACGAAAAAATACGTGACGTCAAGTTTTAATTTGTGAAAAATTACGAAACTAGCTAGAATTTTTTAATTGTGTTCCATAATTGATAGTTGATTATCCGGAAAGCATCTTCGGCTATTGGAAGAATGTAAAGAATATAGAATGGGATAAGATACACAATAATTGTTAGGATTGCGGGGAAAACGGTGAAAGGAGAAATTATGTGGCATTTTCTGTGATTTTTTTTATTCAAAAATTATTAATAAAAACATAAATTATGCCAGTAGTTTAAAGGTCTACAGTTATTCATGTATTTATAGTTAGACGATATCGTTCAACAAAGTGTTACCAAACTGTAAACGAAGAAAATACTGGTGACAGTGTCTCACAAGTTTACAATTTCATTCGGAATTAAATTTTCTCCGTTAAAAATTGTGAATTCACTGGGATTTTAACAAAATATCGGTTATTGCTTCAATGCTTCTGGCTAATTCGATTGTTTTGATGATGGAGTTCATTGCATGCTATGACGTGCTCCTTTTTCATTGATTTGGAAAAAATTCAATTAATTCCCCTGAACGATCGATTATATCCGATATCATCTATTGCATGGCACGTATCTTACAAACGAAACGAAAACATAAATCTAAGGAGACGAATAAAATCAGCGATGAAGTGATAAATCCAGATAAAAATGATTATTACAAGTGGTTTTGGACTTTTTTTAAATCACTGATTCTCCAAATTCGATTAATTCACTTCAACACATAAAAAATATTGGCAATTGCTTTATAGTTTCATTTTCAAAATAATAAATGTGATGTCATCCAAATGCCCGCATTTATAAAATTCAAGCTCCGATAAAGTCTTTAAAAAAGGGAATTTAAAAAATGGTAATTTTAGTATGTACTTCACTCACTCATGCTTCCTAGAATTCTCAAAAGAAAATTCTCTTCAATATACTTTACACTTTACAAATATAATCTCATACATCGTCGAAAAATACAATTCCCCAGTTAACTCTTTAGACAAAATTGTTATTAATTTTTATTATTTTCACCTCAATGAGACAAAGAATTAAATCGTGGGGTACAAACTAGAGATCTACGATAAAAAATAAAAACCCAGGGGTATCAATGTACAATGTTATCACTCTCCGCGCGAAAGCTTCAATACATGGGTAGTGCCGATCAAAAGTGTTTAAAAAAAATAAAAACATAATTATTTTTTCCACCAAATAATAGGGATTCACTGAAATGTGGATTATGAACAAAATAATCAAATGGAAGATTGTGAAACTTGTACGAATAATTGATTTTCTGACTGAAAAATATTGTGGAAAATCCCCAGTAATCTGCAGCTAACTGCTCAAATAATACCACGATCTACACGTTCATACGCTTTTTAAAAGTTCAATTGAAAAAAATTCTCATTGTTTTATAAACAATTAGCGAACTATGGGGAATAGGGACGAATGTTCGCACAATTTCTCTCTGCAAACTCACAAGTCCTCATGATATTTTATAAATAACCTGCGCATTTGTATATCCTAAACTTGTGCTTTAACAAAATTTGTGCTCTAAAAAACAACGAAATCGGTGACGTTTACAATTGAAATTCAATCAAAAACCCAAATTTTAAAAAAGTAGTAAAAAATGAATCCAGAATCTTTATTGCACCAGATTATGAAGAAAAAAAAAATTATGTATCCTGATTATTGAATTCAGTCCTGAAGAGAAAAAAAAATGAAATGATTCAATTATCCTGAGCAACAGGTTTCATTGAATGAGTGGAAAAAATCACAGAGAATTGACGGAAATTCCATCCCTTCAGAACTGAATAAAATAATGAAATCTCTACTTATTCGTTAACTGATGCATAACTCGTATGTATATTACATTAACCATTCGCTCTTATCACTTGCCCGTTTCAAAGGACATAAAATTTTCATTCCTTAGGTATCAACTATAGAATAATCATAAACTGTAATCTATTCACACCAATGATTCCGTCTCTTCCTGATAATTACAATTAAATTAAACTCGAATGGCAAAAGACACGTCTCTCCTGAATATTATCCTAGAATAGTGACCCGGAGTAAATATCATACATATTCTTTCTAAATTCTTCTGCAAATTCTAATCAATGTTAGAAATACTATTGTCTAATGTTTACAATTCACCCCCCCCCCCTTCAGCATGCATCAATCGTCTTTCAGATTTTTTTTTATCACTCGCATATTCATCAGAATAATTACATTTCTTGTTGATTAATTGTCACTGGATTTTTACTACGAAACACTCACACCAGAGTCTGTCATAAGTGAGTCCTTGGTGAGACCTTCAATGAGTGTTTTAGCGTCAGTACCTGAGGGAACGTCATTGCAATGCGTTTCACAATCAATTTCACGCTCTCTGTTCGTTTTTGCATTCTCTTTTATCCGAACTTGATGCTCGATGTTGTCGATTTCGGCCCAAATCGTTCGAACTTCCTTGAATAACTGCAATTAAGAAATAATCATTGGTCCCACACTGTACATAATTATTTATGGATAATTAATTATTGATTAATTCAAGTTGATTTCTCACCTGATTCAGCCAGACCTCGTCAGCGAGTAATTCATTGAGAATAATAGTAGTGTCTTTATTCTGATCTGCCAGTCTTTTGTCAGCTACTCTCCTGGCACACTCAAGGAACATTAGGTATTTTTGATGGGCAACTTTATTGAAGAGTCCCACTTTAGTCTGACAAACTCTGCACAGCAGAAAGTCCTGCAAAAAATAAAAATAAAAAAATAATGACACGCGAAGGAAACACAAATAACTGTCATAAAAGCTCCAAAAAATAATACATATAATAACCTTTTCCTGAGGCACTTTTAAATCCGGAGGGGATCCCTCCAGGGTGGTGGCGTTGTAAGGCTGTCCATAAAGCAAAACTCTAGCAAATACTTTACTCAGTTGACACCCATTACACTGTTTTCCTCTGTACTCGGCACTGGGTATATCCTTGAGAATATTGAGACACGGCCACGTGGAGATAGCACTGATAACAGTTTCCCCCCACTTGGTTGTCGATAACAGCAGACGTTTCCTCTCCTCCGTCATATCATCGACCGTCTTAACATTCGATAAGAAATAATCATCTTGTTCTTGGAATATCTCAGTGAGGAAGTTTGAGTCAAGTGCTTGAGATATCAGTGTCTGTATGTAAACCTCGAAATGGTCCTGGTATTTCTCATACTCTTTAACACGCCTCTCCACGTACTCAGAGTCGTCTAGGAGCATTTCGTCCCTGAGGAATTCCACAATAGTTTCCATTTTGCTGTGCTGCCAGAATTTAACTGGCACTTGCTGGTAAATGTGCCGATTCTGGGGCGCCCAACCAGAGTAAGTCGATATGTTTCTATACAAGGTTTTACCGTTGGAGGCAAAGGGCTCGTATTTTTGGAGTAATGTCTTTCCATCTATTCTCCACAACGCTGGATACTCCTCGTTCAACTCAGCCTTCATCACCACGAATTCTCCAGACTGAAATTAAACGACGATTTTCACTTTACTTGCCTTCTGTTCCTAAAAATCATGCGATTGAAAAATATCCAAGTATTTTTTACTTTCAAAGCTCTAAATTCCATTAATTTCTAATTATTTACAGAAAGGATAATGACTACGTAGAAATATCTCTCCAAAATCGTAGCAAACCGCAAAAGTTACTTGAATATCCTTCCAGGTGTTAGTAATAAGATGATAATGTTTACCCCATTGTCTACTTCCTCGGGGTATCGCTGCTTGCAAATAGAATTGAAAAAGCATGATTAAATGATGAAACAAAATGACAAATGACTAAAATAATGTCTCCAGTGACTCCAAAACCACCTGAAGCCCAAATCCCGAATACTCCACAAAATCCAACGTACCTTGAACGGAGAAATATCGATATCCTCGTCCGTGACGGATGCCAACAGCTTCTCATCGATTTTACACGATACCTTGGCCATGGAATTCTTGTTCTCGTTCTTCTTTCTCCCCCTCTTCCCAACCACTTCCACCGAGGAATAATCATCAGCATCGAGAAGATTTTTCGCGCGTTTGCTAATAACAGGTCTCCCTCGCTTCTTTTTTTTATCCTCATCCCCAGGCCCGAGTTTAGCTGCAGGCGTCCATGCAGGATCAGAGTCTGAGTCACCTTGTTCATCACCATCAGAGTGTTCCTGCAGTTGTTTACTAGAAATCTGATCCTTTGCCTTTCTCTTGGAGGTCTCCCTCCGGGGTGGCAGAGGCTCCTTCTTAGGCTCCTTGGGTTCCTTCACCTCCTTGGGGGGCTTTCCCGCAGCTGCATCAGCAGCAGCCTGGGCAGCAGCAAGCGCAGCAGCCTTCCTTTTCCTGTCAGTAGGACCCCCTGGCTTTATCGGCCTTCCCTTCTTCGGCCTGGGCAGTTCAGTCTTCACCAGGGAATTCTCCACAGGTCCCTTCTTCTTCTCACTCTTCAGCGTGAATGGAAAGTCATCCTCACTTTCAATCCCATCATCACTGGAATCGATGTAGGGTTTCTTTCTCTCCTTAGGCAGTGGAAAATACCTGGGATCATTGGCATAATCAATCGTCGCTGGCTCCTTCCCTGAATTTTGCATCTTTGGATCCATCTGTCCATTAGCCTCACACGATCTGTTCAACTCAGGTGGAACGTATGGCCTCGACCTACTCCAGGTTGCTTTTCTCCCTCCTCTCATAGCTGGCGGGGGTGATGGCTCTCGTTCTCCTTGAAGAAACTTCAGGTAACTCGTCATGAAACCAGAGTTGGGATCCTTACTGTTGGCCTTCAACTCCCTGGACAGCTGATTCGCCTGTTGCTGGGCTATCTCATTCTGCTGGAGAAAGCCCAACTCCTCCTCGATATTGGGAACTATCACCTTGGGCTGATCCTCACGATAATCTTGATAGCCAGAGTTATGAGTGCTGTTGGAATTCTCAAAGGGAATTGATGGCATATCGACACCAGATTGAAATTCAGGGTGATGATTTCCATGTGCTCCAGAGGTAAGATGAAACCCTGGAAAATAGGACATACCGGTTGTTGGATGGTGCCCAACGATTCCTTGCTGATGTCCCCCTGTGAAATTTCCTGAATGAAGGCCTGGTTGACCTGCGAATGCTCCAGAGGTAGCAGCAAACACTTTCGGAGCGTTTGGGGGTAGATTCCACCTCTCAAAGTCATAATATCCATTCTGATTTTGTTGATTGGAGTTGTGATGAGCCGGCGGGGGTACTCTATTGAGATAATCAGTCATGGGGGCTGGAGGGAGTTCGCTGAGGGATGGTTGGGCCTTATTGAAGCTTCTACGCTTCTTGGAGGGATCTACTTTCCTGCGATCCTCCACCTCCTTCTGAACGTCTGGAGGCTGCTGTAGAGATTGCGGCACCTGACACGACGCCTGAGCAAGGGGTTTTCCATTCATTGGGTCCCTGCAGCTGCTCAGATCCTGCAGGGGCACGCGATTAGGAGCACCTCCCTCGAAGTACGTTGCACTTCTCTGAGCCTGCCCCACAGGATTTATTTCCCCAGAATAACCCGAGAATTTTCTCTGCCTGTCGTTATTATCCCAGCAAATTTGTTTCTGCCCGAATTCCTGCCGGTCATACCTGTTATCCCCGGCAAAATTGTTATTGTCCCCAGGTGCCAAGGCCCTAGTTATCACTGAGGGATAGCCCACCTGACCCTGGGACGCCGGTCTGGGAACAGAGACGTCCAGGGGAGCTGGTGGTGTAACTTGCTGATTTCCTTTGTAACTAGCACTTGAGCACTGATTTCCAGTATCATGTTGCAGTGGAGAAGGTGATGACATTGATGCCATGGGACTGTTGTACATGGGATAAGCAGGACTGGGTACGTGACCTAGGGGACTCGCCTGGGAGTGCGCCTGAAGAGGACTGGGCCTCCTGGGCACAACTACACCACAATCAGGACCATTTTGCGAGGTATTCGAGGAATAAGCTGAATCCGTCGAAGCCGCTGACTTCGATCTAGGGTGATGGTATTCGGACTCCACCTGGGAGCCTGGGTAATGCCTGTAAGGTGTTTGTCCTGGTGTCTGTTGATTCAGAACGTGAAATTGCTGGTGCTGGGGCTGAATCCCAGGATTTGGAGGTGTACGTTGGCTCTGGAGCTTCGGAGCGCTCGTTGGGGTCGTCGTCGCGTTGTAATTTATGCCCCTAGTGTCTATCATAGAGAAGCTAATCGGGGAGGACTGACTGCTTTCCATTATCGGATCTCTACGTAATTCCGAGGTCATCATATCAGGATAGACCTTGGATTGAGCTTTAGTCGGGACACTGCCGTTGCCAGTCTTCGCAGGGCTTGAGCCGAATACCCTGGGCTTCTCTTGAGCACTAGCACCTTGGAATATCGTAGTTGGAGTTCTCAGTGCTCCCTGGAGCCTGTAATCCTTCCCCGAGGGGGTCGTTTGAGCAGAGACGATGCACGATTGTTGGGTGTGTAGGGATGGTTGTACTTTACTCGTGGGAGCAACAGGTTGATAATTTCCTGGAGTTCCGATGCCCCCTGGATTCCCAAGACTTGTGTCATCGTTACCGAAGGTTGTGGGAATTTGTTGAAAGAATGGGCCTGCCACTGGAGTCCCTGAGGACGATGGAACCTGGTTTACCCCGGATTTAACACTTGGCGATGGCTCTCGTGCCTTTTTACCATCGAAATTAGCACTCTTAAAGGCATTGGGCTGGATGGGATTCAGACTGTTGAGAGGAGCTGCTGGATTGAAGGGACTATGGAAATTATTCTCGTAGGTAGTTGACTTGACGACCCCAGGACCTGGTGATGATGTGACACTCTCGTGGGGGAGAATCCCGAAGGGGCTGGGCAACTGATTATTCTGGTTGTTCCAGGTGAGACCTGATCCAGCCTGATTCTCAAAGAAATTCGTCTGGGGGCCGTTGTAATCCCTGATGGTGGCTTCGGGCTCTGGGGAAGTGGCTTTGCCTCCAGGCTGAGGCAGCATTTGTCGGTGGGCATAGTGGGACTGTTTGGGATTCGATGGGTGGAATAAGGGGGAAAACACGTCGTAGCTGACTGATGGTGGTGTCAGAAAGCCACTTGGGTTGAAGGTCGGTTGACCAGCCAGAGTGGAGGGGGGATGGGACTGGAGGATTAAGGGGGTTGAGGTTGTGGGAGGTTGATGGGGGAGGAAGTCTGGGGTTGAGCCACCGGGGAATGTGCCGGTGCTTGGGGGTAAACGATTGTATGAGGTGTACCATGGACCCACTGGATCCATCACCTGAGTGTTGAGGGACGAGCTTAGCCCTACCTGATGACAGGTGGGTTATCCCGCGGTCAGGGGAAATGGGGTGGTTAGGGGGGTGGTGACATTTTCTTTGTCTCTGGTGAGGAGTCGTGGTGGATGCATAGGGGGTAGTTTTTCTTTTAATCGAGTTCTCGGAGTATTTTTCGTGTCGCAGTCGTGCTTAAAGCGAATTCGAGGGGATTGAGGGGCTTTTGGAGAGGGATGGGGCGGTTTTTGCGGGGTTCGGAGGGTTATGAGGACATTTGCAAGGTTTTAGGTACCTGTAGGAGAGGACAGGCGTCCTGTCGTGCGCTCAAATGTCGAGGATATTCAGATGTCCTGGGAAGGCCACTGGGACAGATCACTAAATTGGAGGCTCTCAGGGGATGATCAGACACTGAATAACACTGAAACTGATTAACACTGATATAGCCACAACCCTTTGAGGATCCACACACGTTCCAGAATAAGTCACGTAGGAAAGTTGTCACACATGACACTGTTGTTTACTTTTTTTTTAGAAGGAATTTGATGATACTGACGCGAGGTTTCCAAAGGGAGCCGCGGATTCAACGAGAATGATGGAAATTTCAATTGAGACTATAAGGATTTTGCCACAACTTTTAATGACGAGAGCAACGTTGCCCTCCGAGTGCCCATTACAGGCTGCCATTTTGAGCAGGGCAACAATTGGTCGCAGCGACATCTATCGATCTGGGGGGGAGTGGAGGCGGGATTTTTTGAACAATGGAGCGGATGAAGGGGAAAGTGGTTTAGAATCTCCCTCTCTTTCCTCCACGATTAGACCGGCAGACCACTGCGCAGGTCTCCAAAGAGAGACGCAGCAATTTTCATTCATAATTTTATTCACCATTTTTTCTTCTCAGAAAGAAACGAAGAAAAATTTATCACCAAAATTGCGTCACACGTTAGGATATATATTCCACAAAAAAAAATAAAAAATCAGCATTTGATAAGATTGCGTTCATCTGAATCGAGTGCCAGAAATTTCTGCCGCAGTGAAAGAATTGTATGCAGAGTTATCGTGAATTGGATTTCCCCTTTCATGAGATCAAAGGTGATGCTTCTTTCCCCTCTTAAAATTCAGGAGAAAGGAGAAAAAAAAAGATGCAAGTACCTGAAACGCCCGAGGGCACCAACAAAGGGTACCGCCTCTCTCGAAAGCGGTTATTATTATTCCCTCGTACATGCATCCACGTGTCTCTGCAAATTTCCAGAGCCTCTCGATCCGTCCCATCTGACCCTGAGCACTTCCCAAAGACCTCAATCCCCCATCACATTCCGGTTGAATCAGTAGTGAAACGTTGAAAAGCAGGAGACAACTTTGAATGCACTGGCTCATTTCACGAATTATTCTCGTGGAAATGGCATTCTCCGCAAAATCATGTCCCGCAACGAATCACAAATCCTCTCCTCCTCCTTCCAGGGAATTAATCGCCAATTCAATGAAAATAAATAATCCTCAATCTGAATGTTCAATATGGTAAGAATATATTTCAATAATTAATTAATCAATAATAATAATGAAAATCATCGCAATAATAAAATAGTAATCGTTTTACAAACTAAATTAGGCATTGAGAAAAATCATCATCACCAATTAGCACTCAAACATTCGAAAAATTCAAAAATTACCTCTAGGATCACTAGGAGCTTCAAACGTGCCCAAATTTTGATTTTCGACGTTTAAGTCTCCCTTATGAACTAATAATGAATAATAATCAATACATAAGACACTGAGTTCATCGCAGCGCCAAAAGACCTCTCTATGCCTCACAAAAACGAGCGAAATAATGGAAAAATCAGATTGACAATTATTCATCAGACTTAAGCCCCCCCTCCCAAAGAGGAGATGAACGGTTTGACTGAGAATTTTCAACAAATTGCTACCAGAAAATTCACATACAAAATTACGAAATACTCGTTAATCCTCCTGCTATCTCCCAGTAAATAAATAAACAATCGATATGCCATTGAAGGGTGTGATTTGACTCCACTTTGGCTTACAGGGAACGTACCACCCCACAGGGTACCTACTCTCGGTAACAAGACAAAAGCATTGCCCTCTCAATAATCGTTACGTGATTAATGACTCAGAGTCGTTGGACCACGGCTACCTCATCTGCATTTTCCTCTGCTGCCACACAGCGAATTTGCGGTATGCTGTGTTGAGTAGTTGATTCAGGTGAGTAGTAAGATGCTGGCTGATGGCTGAATAATCCCGTTGAAGATGATCTTCAAATTTTTTCAGTCTAGCTGTGTGAAATCTGCGCAGTGCCTCGTGCATTCTGACGGCCTTCTCCTCGAGCTGGGGTGTGGTCGGTGGGAAGCTCCTCCAGAAGTGTCTCAGTAGTTCGCACGTGCAGACGTACACACTGCGCAGTTCTTTCTCCAGCTCCAGTGGTATCAATTGTCCAACATTATCCTCCCTGAAGCCCTTCATGAGTGCTCCTCCAGGTGTGAGCTCGCCGAGGGCAGAGACAGCAGCAGCAGGACTCACTAGACTAGTCTGTCGGGGTAAGCTGTTGCCATTGAGCCAAGAATGAGCCTCTCGTTTCAGCTGACTCAATGTTGTCTGCAATTCCTCGGTGGTTGCTTCGATGGTACCAGTGCCAGGCACGGGCCCATGCAAATATCTATCTACGTGGGTTAAATTTAGCGGTGCTGACGAGACAATATTGTTGTCCTTGCTCGAGTCCAAGTCATCGTAAACGAGTTTCTCCTGTATCCTAAGTTTCTTAGTCTTTGGTTCCCCGTCAGTCCCACTATTTCTCGATGGATTCCCAGTCGAGGCTGACCCATTCACCTGAGGTGTTGTGTCATTCTTCTTCTCTGTCGTTTGTTTGGCAGTGCTGGCTTTCATCACCATGATACTGTGCTGATTGAATCGTTTTATCATACTCTGGTGGACAATGTTACCTGAAGATTTATCCATCTTCCCCGAACCACTACCGTAGCACTCGTCTATCGTTGTATCCTCAAAAGACGTTATATCGAGTAGTGGATCGTTTATGCCTGTCTGAATATCCTTTTTCAACTCCTGATCGTCTATTTTGGCACACTCGGTGAAGAGATCTTTGGTCCCTGCATTTATTCGGTCACGGTGAAAGTAGTGAGATTGAAAAAATTTTGTCCAGAAGTCGGATTCTGATATCTTATCCGTTAGCACGTTCTCCTGGTGCTTTTTCTTCACTGCTGGATACGTTTTGAATATGCAGTCCATTATGTCGACTGTGAGGTTGTATTTTAAACCGTTGCAACCGTCTGTCACTGGTTTTATTTCAGCCTGGAAGGGGATACATTTTTTTTCAAAAGGGAATCATTGGGTTTTATGGGGAAAATAAAAATATGGTCATGGATTTTTTGAATTCTACTCACGAGAAAGGCACTATTGACTCCAATCTCCTGTCGTTCTCGAGCCTTTGTTGTGTACTCTGGTGCATGGAGATTCCAAAATTCCTCAGTGGTTACGACTTGAGTAGGTACAAGATCACGATAAAGTTGCATGAGTGTCGGATTATCTGTCAATAATCTGGAAATTGAATACAATAACTGAGTAATTTCTCTTAATTACAAATTAATGTCAATGAAGGCTGATTACTTTTTCTTCTCCTCAATTTCCTTATTGACTTTTCTCTTGAATTTCGGCAGCAATTGCTGCAGTAGCTCTTTGACGTCATCTCTGTCTTTGACCTGTGCCTCCTGCCCACTCTTATTGACAAAATGAAATGTAGAAGACGTGCCATCGTGGAGCACGAGTTGAAGTTGAATTTTTGATTTACCATCGGGTGAAATTTTTTGAACTACAAATGAAATTAATTAATATCCACTTTGGAATTTTTTGTTGTTGTTTTTAATGGGTGAGACTCACTCTTTATATCCGCATATTTGTGGCTGACTGATACGGTGTCCCTGTTATCCATCATCCACGCAATTCTCTCGTTCATTACGTAAAGAGTTCCATCGCCTTTTTTATAACGAACCTGGCCAACTTGCATCAGTACGTCTTCCGATGAGGTAGTCATGGTGGATGTGATGTATGATAATTTGTGCCTATCACCGAATCCGAGAATTAAACAAAAAAAAATCACATTTTATCACGATTTTTTGGCGAGAAGTATCAGGCAAGGCGTTCTTCACTAAAAAACGAACATCAACTGTTTAAAAAATTGGATTTCATCCCCATTTCATATTTTGTGCTCTTAATAAATGACTTTGGACCCAGAGGGGCAGATAATTCTTCTGACAACTCTCCGAGACAAGAGAGGCTCAAAAATAGTATCCAAAAAATTCCATTCCGTTATTACTGAACATCGAATTAATCAATAACAAAGAAAAAACCATAAACAATTATGAATCCCTTGAAATGATAAAAATCCTGTAATCCTAGCTCTTTACGTCATCCCCTGAAAAAAATTCACTTGACAAACCTAAAAAACCCACGACCTTATTTTTATTGTGACAACATGATATTTATGACTGACGGGTTCGTCACGATGTCCTTGAGGCACTGAGTTCGCGGCACATAAAAAAATCGTGCAAGCCGCCCGAAAGGTAAATGAAAAATTCGAGAACCGGTGAAAAAAAGGCGAAACACTCAAAAGATAAATTTGAAAAATTCATGACTCAACTCTGATAATGGGCCCATAGTTCTCTCTCCCATGCAAAAATCCCCCGAATTTCAGAAAAAAAAAAATTCAGAGGACTGAGTTCAGTCATGATCGAAATACACGCACACGACAATTACAACTCGCAATTCTTTCAAGCGATAGGCGAACCCGGGTCAAAATAAAAGGATCAAACAATACTTAAGGACTTGTTGATGGGTAAAACAATGTTTACAGCTATGTTGAGGTGATTTTTACCGGTGAAAATGGTTGGGTGTGTGTGGAGCGATGTGATGGCCTGTCTTTCTTCACGGCCATGTGCAGTAACACACATCGTAGGCATCGTCAGGACGGCTACGGACGGACCGTCGGTACGAACAACATCGACCTGCCAAGAACACTGGCATACTGCTGGCATCAGATCCGCAATTTCACAAGCTTCCGGCCAATCGCTCCCTGACACTCGTCTTCATCTCCACAATCATTTCCCAAATCATTTCCATAATTACTCATTTCCTCCTCCAACCTTCAACCCATAATTTTTAATTACGACATTCGAAACTTCATAACGTACTGGTAGATATTTTCATTCTTCCTCATTCTTTCTCATTCTCTGTCATCAGCATTCACCACAAATATCCGCGAATGTCATAAAACCGTGATGATTTAGTAAATTTAATAGACACTCAGTCTGCAATTATTTTCGTTTCAATCTTCGCGATTTATCCTTTAATCACCCGATTTATCTCCCTCGGTGGATTTTTGGAATTAATTTTCATCTTCAAAAACTTCTAATCCCACATATTGTGTGAAAATTATTTGGAACTACCGCGCGAAGCGATGAATTCAAATCGTGATTTGACTCCGGAGTCAGTGCGTCAGTGAAGGCAAGATGGAGTCTTGCCGCGGTGAGAGTGTCGTTTGGTTTTTTAAAAAATTTTTGTCGATCGGAGGGAAAAAAAGTGATTAACAGGTGATTGTTGGTGGTTTGTGAGTTGTGATTATTGAGTTTCTAATCGTAAAAGGGTTGGGGAGAGTGTAAAATAGTGTTTTATGTGTGTGAGAAGAAGTTTTGGTGGGGGATGGACTAGTCTTTGTCTCCCTCTGTAACGGAAAAGGCGGGATCCGAGTAGTTGATATGCACTGATGGTCACAAACGACCTTGCTGTTACTCGGTATGATCTTACTCTTTATTATTGGTTAGAGAGAGAAGTGAATGATGATTTTAATTGATGATTCATGGGGGTTGAGGGCTGGGACGATCATTTTCTGTGGTTGCGGTGGGGCATCTTTATAATGTTTCGGATTTGCCTTTTGTTTTTGTTAGGAATCGGATGGATTAATGCCAATCATTAATTAACTGAATTCAATATGAAAATTTGGGGAATTATGGGTAGATTGATGAATTTCCAATTAATGGTCTTTTTGCAAAGTGCCCTTTGTTTTGGGTTTGTATTGTTCGGCCATTATCAGTTTTATTCATCCACATGGCATTGTTCGTTTACTATCTCACTGTTAATAATGAGCATCTAATTACTTTCAATTGAAATTTCATAAAAAATAGAGTATCCGCTAATGGTGTGATGGCAAACTCTAGTTACATGATTTTTTTTCAAGATATCTATGAATAATTTTTATTTCACCTCTTATCATTTGGACTCTGATTTTTTATTCGCCGTCAACTGAATTTATGTTGAATAATTATCACATTACCATGATTGACCCTTTTTGCAAGCTTCTGGCACTCGCCATCAAGAAATCACTGTGGGGGTTACATAACGGGGATAAAAAATGGAGATATGAAACTGAAACCGTTGAAATGTTTCAGGAGGTAAAAAAAAACACGGTGGAAAAATCTCCCTGATCCTGGGACTGCAACCGAGGGTTAGTCCAGAGCCATTTTCCATTACCACCCAGTGGTTTTACGATGTTCATATGGTGCCAGCGGATTTTTATGTAAGTACACGTTATACCTTCTCTGAACTGACCGTAAAAATGTGAATGTAGGACTATCAAGTCGTTGCTGTTCCGCGGCTTTACGATGAGGAGAGAAAAAAATTGTTGGATTATTTATCCCGGGGGGTTGTTCTATGATGAAAATACCAGTAATGTTCTTTGTTTTATATTTAGTGCGCTCTGTTAGTGATAGAGAACAAGTGAATCGACAATGTTTATGGGGAGCTGCGAGAATTGCGGGGAAAATAAAACGAGAAAGGGCTTTAATGAGATCGAGTGGATTGATTCCGCGGAAAATTACCTTTTGCAATGAAGAATTTTTTGTTCATTCGTCTCGTGTCGTCCGTTTCGTTCTCAACCGGTAGAAAAAAAATATAAAAGAGGGCACAAAAATGAGAAATTACATTTTAGAGGAATGAAAACGTAACACGGATTTATCAAATTGAGTCAACAATCGATTTCTCCGAACAATACAATTCGTATTGCATCAATTCAACTGAGAAAATATTTCTCCAGTCGATTGAAACGGGATTCGAGTGAATTTCGCTTCAATATCTGTTTTTTCTTTTTTTTTTAAAGACATCTTCCGCTCACCGCTGATTGTCGGTACGTGCCACGAGTGCGTAATTATAATTAAACAAGATTGGGGGCAATTCCATTACGTACAAAACGTGTTTAACGCGGCTCATTAATCGACGACGACAAGTCGATTAATGATAAGTTGGGGGATGAGTGAAATGTGCGGGAACTTGAGTAACTCGATGCATTGAGTGGTGATCTTCAGTTGTCAGTTTGTCTTACCGAGAAGTCAGTAGTGAACGCAAGTCTTTGGATTTTTAACATTAAGGTAAGGCCATTGGTTATTTACTGATTTATTACTGACTGATCACTGACTGATCATTGACTGATCATTGACTGACCGTAGTGGTCAGCGTTTGAGCGGACAAAAACACGTGTTCACAGTTTTTCCTCTGTTGTCATGACTTGTTTTCTTCCGCGATCGGTGTATTATCACACTAGAAATTTTCTTGGACTAGGTCGAGGATGACACATGCTTTATTTACAAATTCCCAATGCACACACTCAGAAATAAAATCCTTCACCAAACACATTCACTTTCCCTCAGTAAATCTGTATAAATACTTCCATAAGGCATGCAAAAATGCCAAATATATTTTCTTGTGGTTCGTAAATATACGCGAGAAAAGAATTTTATTTTCTCAGCACACGCGGATATTTTTCAAATAATCTGAAAGTGAATATAATACACAGAAATTGAATGCAAACCAGCCATTTCAATAAATTTGAATGAACTCATTAGGCAAAGTACACCTTCAAAGATAAGCCTTTAATTTTGAAAAAAAAAGGTAAAACACTTATTGCCATGGCTTCCATCACCATAAATATGGTAATGAATAATGGTAATCCACTGTCATCCTCGACTTCACTTAAACGTTCCTTTTAAACGCCCAAGATACGCGCGAGTTCTGTATTAGACCGACTAAACTACGCCGAAAGATAAGGAAAGCCATTGCCATTACATCGTCATTTTCCTCCCGCGATATCTAACGTTCCAGGAAAAATCTCTCAAATCTTTGTGAATAATCCTCACGCGCAAAGTTTGTTATCCGCGCGTATCAAGTGCCGATTTATCCCTCCATTGACGGAGTATAAATTACATAAATCAACTCAATTACTCGAATTGAGTCGAGCCGACGCGCTTCTATTATGTTTAAACCTAATGTTTTCCCAATTACATCATCGCGCAACAGTAATCACATTGGGAATAATATATTTGGATCAATGAATTTGGAAAGTAAGGAAGTTGATTATTTTTTTACACCAATTCTTCGGTGATCATGCCACTAATTTTTCTCAGACTAGATAAAATTTATTTAGACCATTTCATCTCTGTAGCTGATTCCAGCTCGAGGTTATCTCATTTCTTCCATTCTATATTAAGATAAAGACTGAATTCTGATACTTGTCGTATGATAATACTCCTTCGAACGTATATGAATAAAAAATGAAAGAAAAATCGAAATCGTCACGGAAAATGAGCAAGCCCTTGAATTCTCGAGTACCAAGGTCTCGCGTCTTTTTCGCAATAATTTTTTAAAATCATCATCACCAATGGCTTCCTCTCGTCGATGTTGACCATGAAAGCAGATACGCGAACACCAAAAGGAACAGTTATAAATACAAATGCAACTGTTCAAAGGTCTTTACAGTAATGATGCGCTTGCGCGACGCTTTCAACGCGTTTCAATATCCCAGAAGTGCTAGAAAAGGGAAATAAAAAAGAAGCGACCTAGGTTGATTACTCTAGACACATAGTGCCATTTCTGTTCTATCGATCGCGTGGTCATACGTATTCCTTGAGTCGTGTTTAACGGTTGCAGTCAGTGGGGCAGAAAGCGCGCGCTTCTCTCGATCGCGATCGATTTTTGGTGTTGATTATGACAAATTTGGTGAAATGGTGAGAACAAAATCAAACATCGCTTTCTCCTTGGTTGTGCTACTGTATTTGCCCGGTCTTTTCACTCATGGAATATAAATATTCTAGACATCATTAGAATCGTTATTTTTAGGTTACGTATCCGCGTGGTTTTCTGAGTGTTGCGCTTGCGCAGTACTTTAACCCCCCTCCTCTTCCTTTTTTTGTTCATTAGAATATAGTGTCATCATTTCACTAGCTTGATTTTGTCGATTCCAATTAACAGCACTAATCCATGATCCTCTTCATACCATTTAATAACAATTCATCATGCAATCATCAATATGACACAATGAAAAAACTTTGTGCCAATTGTGATCTGTTTTGTTGAAGATGGATGAATCCGAGGAACAACCAAACGTCCAAATCCACATGCTGTTTCCAAAAAGAGGGCACACTCAATGGAGACAGTGGCTGGCGTCTATCTGTGGTTAGTCTGAAATTTGAAATTACAATGCGGTGAGCTGCAATGAATTGAGCCATCAGGTTTTCCAAAATTCGTTTTTCCAAATTTCAGCGACATTATCAATGGTAGCAGTTGGTACAGTGTACGGTTGGACAACGACGATGCTGACGCGTCTCGAGAAGAACAAAGACGTTCCATTACAGATAACTAGCGATGAAGGTTCTTGGATCGTATCAATAGCTGTGATAACGTCGATGGTAGGCTCCTTCTTGGGTGCTTGTCTAGCGGACTTGTTTGGCCGTAAAAAATGTCTGCTTAGCTCGAGCATTTTCTTCATAGTTGGCTGGTTAATCGTCATCTTCGCTGACACTGTTGTTTGGCTTTATATTTCCCGGGTTGTATTGGGAGTTGGAGTTGGGATGTCCTATACGACTAATCCGATGTACGTGTCTGAAGTTGCGGACACCAACATACGAGGCGCATTGGGCACTCTAATTGCTGTGAATGTCTTCACGGGATCGCTAATCACCTGTAGTGTGGGACCATTTGTGTCGTACAGAACACTTGGAGTTGTTCTTTTGTCTATTGCGATCGTCTTCGTCGCGTCGTTCGTATTCTTCCCGGAGAGCCCGTACTACCTTGCCATGAAGAATCGAGAGCGGGAGGCTATTAGGGCGATTATGTACTTCAAGGGATGCAATACCGAAGAGGCGAGACAGGAGTTGACGATTATTGTTAGAAATATCGATGATGACCGCGTGAATTCTGAAGGATCGAGGAAGAAGATCCGGAGACTGCTGTCTTACAACAATAGAAAGGCCTTTGCCATGGTTTTGGGACTGATCATTACGCAACAACTCAGTGGAAACTTCACCACAATGCAGTACTTGTCCAAGTTCTTCGACGCTGCCAATATTGGTATAGATGCGGATTATGCTACTATCATTGTGTTTACTGTTGGACTTGTCTCTGGAACTGTATCTACAATGACTGTGGAGAAGGCTGGGAGGAGAACTCTTCTCATTTTGTCCGCCTTCTTTTGCTCAGCGACACTAATCATTCTTTCGGTTTATCTTCTACTTAATTCAAAGAAGATAGACTTGACTGCTGTTAATCTGTTACCGGTTATCCTCGTGATACTATTTGTTGTTGCTTATCAAGTGGGAATTGGGACTCTGCCCAATGCCCTCATCGGCGAATTATTCCCAACTTCTGCCAAGAGTGTTGCTGGCGCTGCAATCACGATTTCAGATGGTGTTCTTGGATTTGTTGTCTCCAAGCTCTATCAGATTATTGGTGATGCCTTTGGAGAGCATTACGTTTATTTCTTCTTTGGGGGATCTTGTTTTGTCGCGTTTGTCTTCATTTTGTATTATATACCGGAAACGAAAAATAAGAGCTTCGGGGAGATTCAGGAGGAGTTGGCTAGCACTTGTAGTAAATTCTCGGTGAACAAATACTTGCGGTCGTCGAGGAAAGAGCAGGGGGATGACCGCGTTGTGTGACGTTAGGATTTGGGGGTGTTGTTTTATTTGACTCAATAGAGAATTAACGTCTTGAAAACTGTCTTGATATTCTTGGCAAGCTGACAGCAATTCGTCTTCCTAAAGTTTGATGAAGTATTCAAATTACTTTCTGTAAATATACCTGATGATTTTTATAAACTAAAAGATGTTAACTTTGAGAATATGCTGTACTCGATTTTTATTCTCCTTTTGTCAGTTTCGCTTATTTGGCATTTTTTCAGCTGTTAATTTTTTAAATTGTGTAGTAATATGAGTCTTTAATCCCCAATATTCAATCAGAACTAGTGGGACTGAACCCACTGAGTGGTAAAGCGAGTAACATAGATATTTACAAAAAAGAGAATTGAAGGAAATAACAAGTTGAAAGGGTTTTTGCAAAAAAACATAAACATGAAGCGTTTTCGGGGTGATGTTGGGGCTCGGAGCAGATACAGAATAGCATCGGTTCTGCTCGTTTCTGGGATTAAAAAGTTTTAGGGGTGACAGTGCAGGGAGAGGGGTGGCGAAACGAAACGATCGACGAATCTAATGGACGAGAAAGTTAAAAAACAAGGGAAAATACCGCGAAAAGAGTGGACCAAAGGGGAAATAAAAATGAGAGGAGCAGAGATAAAAACAGTGGGAGGTCAGTGCAGGCAAGTCCATAATTCGATTCGATCGGGCGGATGATTTAATGGAATTTCGTGGGAATTCAATATTTTTCTCCCATCCATCTTTTTAAAAAAATCAACAAAATTACTGACTCAACTTGAGTGATTCGGAGTTTGAGATTGCCGGAGAATAATCGATAAAACTGATTTTCGCAAACTCCACAGTCTTTTTTTTTACAACGTTGTTTATTGCCTCGAATCTGGCGAAATCTCGTATTTTTTCAACTCGCTCACGAATAAAGGAATGTAAACAAAAGTCTCGCTGACGGTACAGTGAACAATTGAACTCTGAACGTAAAAAAGAAGGCGAATATAAAGATAAAAAAAAAGTGAGCAGTTATAGTGCACGAGCGCACCATAGGTTTCACAACACCAGCGATATCGGCTTTTGATTGTCGAAAGGGACAAAAGTTGGAGGAATGGCGGATGCTGTCGGAGGCACCAAACAACTCCTGGGTCGACGGGGCTAAGCGAATCAGAGGCAAAATAGGTGAAAAAAAAATTCACATAGGCAAGCGGGTGGTAAGGGGTGAGAAGTGCAAAGTGATGAAAAAAAAGTATTAATCGAGGAGGTGGATAAGGACAGGGGGTGAGGATGGGGATGAGTGAGTGAATGGTGGGTTGAGAATAGAAAAACTGTTCGTTCGTTAACAGAGGGAAGGGTAAAAAATAGAATGGAAAAAGGAGGATGGAATACTCGAGGAAAATCAGCCTCGTTCGTTACGGGGGGTGGGTTGTTGGGAGGGTGATGGGGTGAGTATGGGGTTAGATTGGAGTTTTCATCTATAGTAGTGGAGGCGGGATGTATATACTGTGAAGTCCGCACAATCGAGAACAAAAGCCTTCAGGGGTTACGTCGCTTGGTTGTCGACGTTCAACGGAACACCGGAAGGAAAAGCGAATCGAAAAAGAGAGGATTAAAAGGGGAAGAAGAAAAAAAGCTACCGGGTGTTTCCAATAAACAAAAGCACTCTCGGTTTCAAGGGCTCTTGGCAACCTAAAGGGGAATCGCTGCACGGATTTGCCCTTTTGTTGATGATGTTGAGGATATCCGAGTGGCTTCTGCCGTTTGGCGCATCAACTGAAGTTCCCAGATTTCAAGGATTACGCTAGTTTAATAATTAATAAAGGGGCTATGAAATAAATATGGGAAAACGTACGGAGAATTGAAATAGGAAATTCTGAGAGTCGAGATGGTTGAGAGGGAGCATTAATTGACCACCATTGAAATTGAAAGTTAATGCTTTGATAGTGGAGTTTGGAGTTTATAGTTTGCTGTTGCAATAGCTGGTATGAGGGTAAAATTTTTCACTCAAATATCCATCATCTTGAAGACGACGCCAGCAACATAGCGCACAATCATTGGAATGCAACGTGCATTGTGAACAATGTGTAATTCCTGGAGCATGTACAAAGCAACCCTGGAGATATTTGGAGGTACCGTTTAACCAGCCGTACGCACAGTAGACTGCAGTGCTACTGTTGTATACAACAACCCAGGCATCTCAAAATTTCTGGGGTACTGCTGACACGAATTGCACGCGCACTGAGGCAAACTGGATTGTGAATCCTTCCGGGTATCTCCAGGAGTCGGTATAAGTACATAAGTGTGTTGGTGTAATGTCTCAACCTGAGACACGTCAGCGATATGTCTCAATTCGTTCTTGTGTCAAGTGACTGTGAGAGTCCTTGTAAATAGTGATTTATTCGGCCAATAAATTCTGAGGGATTTATTGACGGGTGATGCGTCATCCAATCCATTTCTCATGTGATCCTCTTCATATTATTTTCATGGGAAAATAATTCTTCCACTTATCATGAAAGTCTCTCTAAAATAGCGTTGAATTTGGGAATTCATGTCTTTCTGATTCTGCATTCAGGGATAATGCTAATGAATTTAATTCAGTTTACATTTGGACAAATGCTCGGAACGTTCAACTCAATTGATTATCCAGATATCGGGAACTGATTAATTGAATACGAAGGTTCAAGCGAGCATTCGAGGGTAATTTTACTTTGAGTACACTCTTGTCAGAATTACTCTGGCTAATGAAAAAACAGTTAGTGATTGATCGGTATCCTTCGGTAGTTCGAATAGAATTTCAATAGGATTTCAATAGGATTTCATTGAAATCGATCGTTTGTCTGTCAAAGGACACGTCCCGTGGTGGCTCCTCGTTATTGGGACGATGAATAATGCAAGTTGTGCGGTGAGATCTCTGTACCAGGGACTAACGTCAACGTCGTAATTTAGCTTGCTGAAACGTGTCTGATTATTGACTACCTAATAAAACAAATTAACGGGTTTCTATCGAGAACATGTTCCATGTTCACGCGAATTCTCAGATGTTTTACTAGAAATTTTACTGGTAATGATTGAGCATTACGCCAGATTTTTGTCTGTTCTTCCTATTACCGCCAGCTCTAGAATTTTTCAAAGGACTTTCTCTCTGCGTAAATTGACATTAGAAAAACTCATTATAATATCTCTCTGTAAAAATATTGTAAGTACAAATTGCGAGAACTGTGGAGTGATTATAATTGGCGGAGTGTGGAAAATAGAATTTTCCTGTTTTGCTTTCATCTTCCGAGGGCGTGTACTGCCTCCAGTGAATCTCGTTATGACTATCGTTTCTTTCAAAATCTCCTCCGGGCATTTTTCGCATTACTCCGTTTCATACATCTATTTATTATGTGAAACGTGTGAGGTGCAACGAGGCCATGAAAAATAAAAAAACAACCCTCTGGGGTATGAGCATCTGAACTGGGAAAGTGGATGGAACGGTAAAGCACTGGTGAAATTATTTAGAACACCACTGCACAGACATTTTCTACGTGAAAAAATAGAAAATCATTTTGAATTATTTTTTCATCGTTTAATAATTAAATTCGTGCAGTTGTGAGAAATTTTATTCTCTAGATTTTTAATCAACCAACGGCTGATTTCACGTAAATTCGCCTGCTATATGATAATAAAAGCCGCAGACCCAGGGGAAATATGAAAATAATAATTTTCTTATTCACCCGATCCTCAAGAGCCTGATTTAGGTTTTCTTGTGGAGGAAGGAAAGTGACTTTCTCTAAAATCCAATTTTTCCATCAACTTTTCCATCAATCATAATGTCTATAAAACCCTCAGATGGGTGGAGAAATACAAAAATACAAAATAGAATTTCTTGATGCGTCAATTGTTAATCTCAATTTGAAATGAGCTTCTGTTTGAATATAATCAATATTAATAGTATCTATGATTGAAGTGGCCCATACTGAGCGGATTTCAAGTAGAATATAGAGTGAAGGGGAAATAGGGGGATTGGGGGATAGGGGGTTTAAGGGGTCCAGGGGCCCTAGGGGTAACCTATTGTAGCCACACAGGGTTTGTGTATTTGCTTGGTCTGTGATGCGGTTTAGCTTTGCCCATTTGACTCACCTCAGCCTATAGATACAGAACTATAACCAAATAGTATTATACAAACTGTAACTCATAAACGATTCACCGGTGTAAAAGCTGTGTGTCACTCCTTGGAGGTGCTCCGGTTTACGCTCATTAATTAGGGATGCGGTGGATCCTTGCACATCAAGCCGTACGAGCTTTTGCAATTGACATTGACTTCCACGTGTAAATCTTCCTGGAAACTCCAGTCCAACGCGTACTCTTGAGAGATGTTTTAAAAATTCAGTCTCCATCTCCCCGAGGAAGAATTCCCTCTGTACGCTATATTTTTAATTAATCAAAAGGTGCATCGTATCATTTTTTGTCGGGATTATTTTATCTCCATTTTTACGTTTCAATTCCCTTGGCACTTCTATTGTCATATTTAACCCAATATTTCTGTCTTTTTTATTCATTCCGCGTTTCTTTCTCATATTTTTTTTTCGCCAGTGAATAGAGTCGCCAGGTGGTTAACTCAGCTCAGTGTTTTTTTTAGGTATCATTCATTGGATTTTTGGATTATTCTGCAAATCTCTCGGGGCAGAATAAATACGAGATTTTTTTTACGGAATTATTTTTCACAGATTTCACAGTTTTTCTTACGATTTTCCTCGGCTCTTGGGGTAAATATCTTCAATTACCTATCTCATCGTGATTAGGAATAATGTTAAAGGACATGAATTTTTTTTATAGCTTTTTTGGTCTTTGCTGGAAGAAAAATGGTAATAACTCTTGAGTGGAAAAAATGGGGTGCTTTCAGGGATCGGGGGAATATTCATATGCCTTTCATGTTTATTCCTTCAATTTTTTAGAGGATGTATCAGTGATGTGGTTAAATCAGCGGGGTATATTTTTTTAGCCGACTATTCATATATTCAATCCACAGCTCGACCATGCAAGTCGAGCCAATAGATGAGAGTAGCGTTGATTTTCAAACACATTCATTCGCTACTCCATTGAGGCGAGATCCGACCCAAACCCCTAACATATATATTTTATATATATCGAGTGGTATATGTACCGGAAATTTATTCGTCATGGGGCGCGTGTAGTGCCGCGG